AGGTGTGGGTGTGGGTGTGGGTGTGGGTGTGGGTGTGGGTGTGGGTGTGGGTGTGGGGGTGGGGGTGGGGGTGGGGGTGAGGGTGGGGGTGTGAATTGGACTGAGGGTACATCCACATTCACCCACACCCTCAGTCTCTGACATACACGTATCTAGCTTAAAAATCAATAATAACTCTTTATTAATCCAAGTTGAAGGTTTTGACTTCAAAAAGATGTTATTCTCTAACAACGACTTTGTCGATCGTTTTTAGTATAGCATGTGTTTGATCCCAAGTCAATACTTATTGAAGAGGATTATCACTTGAATACTTAATTATTAATCCTGAGAATGAATCAAATAAGTAGATGTGTTCAATTTTATCGTTATTTCGTCTTTTTCGTAAAACAGAAGGCACATTTCTTCTACGAGATGAATATCTCTACATATCTACTACTATCGGAATTTTAAAAGAAGGCACCTAGAAAAAGCTTATAACTTTCGAACGAAAAGTCATAGCGACCTGCGGTTTTCAGCAATCGATAGAAGATTATAGGGGGCACGTTTTTATATAAAAATCAAGGTTTAAACAATCGGTAATTGTGGAATCACTGAAAGAGTAGGCTCGTTATTTGGTGAAATCTCAGCAGAACAAGCTGAAACTTTCAGCATATATAGCCCCACTGTACCCCAATCTTCGCTGAAAATATCATCGATAAATCTTGTAATGACGAGGAATAGTGACTCAATCATCATCTGGTCTTACATAAGACTCTCATTCAATCAAAATATTAGGAAATGGCCTCAACTTTTGGCTGAATAAATACCATAATCTAGACTTCATATCTATGCAATTATATCATAGTTTGATTAAATGAACGAGAAGAGACGATGAAAATATTACTAAATTCTGCATTTCTCTTAAGAAAGTTGGAAAGATTTGTTTTAAAATACTTACTGTATGAAAATCATTTCTTCGTCGAATTTTGGCTATTTCCGTACATTTTTACGATCAAAGTGCGATGCTATTGCATAGATATGAAGTCTAGATTATGGTATTTATTCAGCCAAAAGTTGAGGCCATTTCCTAATATTTTGATTGAATGAGTGCCTTATGTAAGACCAGATGATGATTGGCTCACCATTCCTCGTCATTACAAGATTTATCGATGATATTTTCAGCGAAGATTGGGGTACAGTGGGGCTATATATGCTGGAAGTTTCAGCTTGTTCTGCTGAGACTTCACCAAATAATTAGCCTATTCTTTCAGTGATTGCATAATCACTGATTATTTAAACCTTGATTTTTATATAAAAATGTGCCCCCTATAATCTTCTATCGATTGCTGAAAACCGCAGGTCGCTATGACTTTTCGTTCGAAAGTTATAAACTTTTTCTAGGTGCCTTCTTTGAAAATTCCGATAGTAGGTTGACAATCGTTCCCCAATATTTCTAATCTAAATTTATTTCCATCTATCTGGAGTATAGAATATGAAGCGTATCTGCTATTTATACATAGATGTAAGAAGTCAATTTAAGTTTTCAATTCCTTTCTGACTTATCGACTAGTTAACATTAAAAATAATTATTTGATGAACCTACTTAACAGATTTCCACATCATTCACACTCAAATTTGAAAAGAAAAATATTTAGTTTTTAGACTCTCAAAAATAGAAATATAACTAACAACTGAAGCATTCTATTAATCCATTCATTTCAACTATAGTCAATATTTAGTTAGCATTGAAAGAACAATAGACACCTCTTAAGCTATGTACATTGAACAGACTTTTTTTCATTTTTATAAATTTTAAATTCAATCACACTGTGTATTCTAATTAGTTTTCACTGCTTAATCTGAATTTTGTTTTTGAATTATCGTTGACTTTTTTACACTTCATGAACTTCAATTTAAAACGAATCAATTTACCGACGAGTAGAGGTGACAGCAATCAATGAATATAAAAATAACTTGAGTTGAAGAAAAAAGAAATACTATTGTTTGCAATCCAGAGCATTATGGAATCATAGAAAACAAAGAAACATAGCCTACTTTGAAATAAAAAATCAAACTTAGCGATATGCAGAAATCACTTATAGATTCAAATTCCTCGATCCTCGAAATTATTAATACATTTGTCTCAGAAATCATTACTTTTATCACCTGAAACTCATAAAATTTTTGATTACTTAGTAAAAGATAACACATAGGGAACAATGTGTCATAAGAGATCAAAGAATGGATACTTCTCTGATCGGAATCATTTTGGTATTCTCTAAGACGATAGATAGTATGCTTTTAAAAATGATTAAAAAATGAAAGGTATTTCTGATAAGAAACATCATTTTCTCACTGGCTCATTGAAGAAAAAGACAATGGGCTTTGTTAAAATAGCTTCATAATAAGCAACACTACATGTTCGATAAATATCTTAACGACACAGAAATTCAATAGTTTCATACTGTCGCCATGAGTCGAGTTAGTTTTTTCTCTTTATTAATGAAAAATAGAATTAATCTGATTTATAGAACAACTTTCAAAATAGATCATGCTATTTTTAAGATATTTCTTTCATACATTTTTAATTTCTATTGAATTTACCTCTCTAAGATTATTCTTGTCACTGGATTTCTAGTTTCGGATCCGATAAAGAAAATTTCAAAAGTATTGCCAAAAAAATCACCGCCCGAACAAGCTAAATTCAAAACTTTGAAAATTTTCTACACAAACTAATTTGTAGTTAGACCTTAATATCAGTAAAGTTTCTTGTTCAAAATCGAAGCTACGATTTTATCGAAAATTATGACTGTACACAAGAAAATTCTATAAAAATTCAAAATCTTTGGAAATAAGTTCACTAGTTGAGAGTACAGTTAACACAGTTCATGTAGGTATAGTGAAACTATTGAATTTTGTAATTGCTAAGATGCAAATAAAATATTCCTTATACAGCTATCTTCAGTTTTCAACAGATATCATAGGCTCCTATCTTCCTGATTATCAGTCTGAGATTAGGAGTACGATTACTCTTGTGGTGAATAGCCAAACTAAGATGATCCTTGTCACCCATTCACTCATCATCAATAGTTTTATTTTTACATTCAGAAACATGTATGTTACTCAATTGCATGATATTCGAAACATCTGATTTTTTTCTTCGTACAAAATAGTCTCTACTGATTATCTCACATGAAAAACTTTCATAAATGTTTAGAGTCTCATTATTTTGTAGTGCAGCTGTGTATGATTCTTCATCGTTATCGAAAATTTCTGCGTCGGACAGTCACGAGGAAAAATGTTAGACACTAGTGGACGGACTGAGTATTCGACACTTACACGGGATTACAGAAAAAAAAAGTAAGATGAAACACTATTATCGAACAGAGTATAAGTGACAGTGCCAACGAAAATTTTCTTTAACAGTGAATACTATTATATTTTGAACAACATAATATTTCTGATTTCGGTGGTTCTGGTACAACTGCGACAGGTTTGGGTTGAGATGATTTCGATACATCTGAATGAAGAAAAGCAATATTATTATCATTTGAACGAGTTCATACTGGCGATATGAAAATTGTCCCTTCTATTCGGTGGCTATGCCACTGGGTCAATCCAACGTAAGACCGAGAAAACGAAATAATCTTGTTCGACGATTCAATATGACTCATACTTCTAAGAAGTCTAATTCGACATTGATTAAGGCCACCCCCCCCCCCCTCAAAAATCGATCTCAGCCCAGGTACGTTCAAATGGGCTGAAATTTGGAGCATATGTTGGGGCTGATGTGTGGAGGCTGTGGTAAAATTTTCAGCTCGATACCCTGATGTTTGACAGAGATATGAACCAAGCAAGGGTCAAAAATAGCTCATTTGGCAATCCATTTTTCTCTGTCAAAGCTCATTCAATATATTTAAATTTTTTTTTGTTTGAAAGAGCATCTCAAGATGCAGTGCAGTACAGAGTCCTTTTTTTTAAATTATTATCTTTTAAGCGGAGAAAAGGGCTGACAAGTTCAATGACTCAAAAAACGCGCCAAAAATGGTGGTCTGTTTATATAAGTGTTTGTATATATAATAAAAAACAAGCTTAATTTAAAAAAAAGGACTCTGTACTGCACTACATCTTGACGTGCTCTTTCAAACAAAAAAAATATATAAATATATTGAATGAGCCTGGACAGAGAAAAATGGATTGCGCGGTCCAGAAAGCCTAAACTGAGAAAAAACGAAAAACATTTTTTGAAAAAATTTTTTACCATATTTTAACATTTTTAGATACTTTTTTGGTAGATTTGACTAGAATAACTACTAACTGTCATATATCTTTTATAACTATGCACAAATAACCTTCTTTTGGCGCTTATTGAGCTTCACTAGATGAATAATTTTATTATTCAGGGCATAAACATAATGGGCTTACTGGAAAATATTCTAATGAAATTAACTGTGAGTTATCTCAGCCCTCTTTATTGCATCTTAGCCATGTATGTTCTCTCTCGTATTATCTAATGAGTTCTTCTTGTTGGGTAGTGGCGCTATCTTTCGTCCACTACCTCACTTTTCTTCTCTTTCTTCTATATTCTATTGATTGGTCATCTGGATGATCCATAAGGATATATATGTGGACCGATAGTTATTTTTTTTTTGTTGTTGTTGTTGTTTTGTTTTTTTAGTACGGAAAGAATAAACCAGGAAAACGTGTTAGTTCACAGACTAACACTTCTCTCTTTACTATCTTCTGGTGTATTCTTTCTCTTTCAGCACTCTTATATATATTCACGTTGATTTTAAGAATAAAATAGTTCAGTATATTGTATACGCGATAAGATAATACTTCTCTCTGACTAAAAATTAGTTAGTGGTCAACTACCTTTATAACATATACAGAGAGGCGTGCCAGTTTGTTGCTCACTCTATGTATATGTGTAGTTTTGTTAGTGTGTTTTAAAAAAGAAAAGAATATATCTATACTTTAGTTTAATATTTTATTTGTTTAGATTATACATTTATCTTTGTATTACGGTTTTATATTAAAACGTGTTGGTCTCAAACATTATGGCTAACAAGAGAAAAACAAAACGGTAAGTGTCTCCAATGAAACTTCTTTTTCTTATACTATTAGTCAATGGAATTATTCTAGCCCTAAAACGAGTGAATGTTTTTCTGGTTTATGTAAGAAGGGAGATAAAAAATCTAATTTGAAATTCCTTTTCCTTATAATAAAAAAGACTTAATACTAGACTTAGCACACATGCCGTGACAAGACGTGTTCGTCAAAATATACGATCAATACCAGCATCAACATTAGAAATAACAACATCAAATCCATCCACATCTTCAAAACGTTCATCTTTACCATCACAACAGAAGATTACGAAAAGAACGAAATTGGATATAACATCAACATCAGCAAATTCAAATTCAAATTTGCCTATGGATGGATACACGATCTTGCAAAATCAATTATTATTTACTCTTATGTGCAAGACGAATTGTGAAAGTTGCGGAAATCGTTGGAATGGAACAATTAACATCAAGAAACGCGAAGGCTTATTTGTGATCTTATCTTTTCAATGTTCATCATGTACAAATACCATCACTATTGGTAAGTAACTACTTCCAACTATCAAAGCTTTGAATATTATTAATGCGTGCAATATTTCTATCTAATTTTTTCAGAAACAAGTCCGAAGATTGTTGCATCAGATCGTCGAGATATTAATGTTCGATCACAAATTGGTGGCCATTTGTGTGGTATTAGATATGCTGGATTAGCTAAATTAATGGGTGCTATGAATTTACCAAGTCCAATCCAAGATGAAAGATATTCCAAATGGGATAAAAATTTATTACTTTCAATAAAATCATTTTCAGATCGATCAATGAAAAAAGCTGTTGAAGAAGCTGTAACTGCTGCAAATGGTAAAGAATTAATGGTTAGTGGAGATGGGTTTTGGCAGACTCGAGGTTTTCAAAGTAGACATGGTGCAGCAGCTCTTCTTTCTTGTAACACAGCACCAAAAGTACTTGATATTGAAACATGCAGTAAAACATGTAATGTTTGCTTTGGTGAGTTTCTTTTTTTTTTTTCTCTTGATCACATCTTTTTTTTTAAAGGTGCACTTGCTATCAAGAACTCTAATCCAGCTAAATACAATGATATTATTAGATCACATCACTGTGAAAAAAACTACAACAAAAGTTCTGGTACAATAGAAGCTCATGCTGTTCTTAACATGTTCCAACGATCAGTTTCCAAATATCAAATTTATTACACAAAGTATGTTGGTGATGGTGATTCAAAAACATTTGCTGCTCTTTCTGACAAACCACCATATCCAGGTATAATATAATTTATTTTATTTCAAAAAATTATTGCGTTTGAAGCACCATCAATAGTTTTGTCTTTTCAGGAAAAGTGATCAAGAAAATCGTAGACTTGAATCATTTTAGCAAAAGAATGAAACGTCAACTGGAAACAAAAAAACGTCAATATGGAAAAGAACAATTATCTGATGGTAAAACTATTGGTGGTAAAAATCGTCTTTCCAGTAAGTCTTTTTAAGACATGAAAAAATTTTGAAAATGAAACAAATGGTAAATCTGAATGCTTTTTTGTTTTAGAACAAAATATCATCCGGTTACAAATGGCATTTGCTTCGACCATTCGAAAATGCAAACACGATCTGGATTTGTTATTCAAGCGATCGTGGGCTATATTTTGGCATAAATATTCAACCAATGATGATCCTCGTCATGATTATTGCAGCATCGATTGGTGTGGTTATTTAAAAGCTGCTCGTGATGGAACATCATATGATCATACACCACATGCTTTACCTCGTCCTGTCCTTGATGCCATCAAGCCTGTTTTTGACAACCTCTGTTCTCGGGAAAGTCTTGCACGTGTTGTTAATGCATCAAGTCAGAATCCGAATGAAGGTTTTCATTCGCTTGTTTGGCTTATGTCACCAAAACACAAGACATCATCCGGTACAATATTTGAAATTGCATGTCATCTTGCAATAATAATATTTAATGATGGATATTTTACATTAGGTAAGCCGATACAAATAATTTCAGAAGTTTTTTTAATTATAATTGAAATGTTTGACATTTATAAAATAATTTTTTTTACTTTTGCACAGGAGATCTTTTCAACAACATCTGTGGTTATCGTGGTCACTACACCGACCAAGCAATGATTCACTTCGACAACACTCGTCTTCATACAGAATCAAAAGAAAATAATAGAAAAAGAAGAAAAGAAGCTGGTCGTGATGTACAAAAAAATGTTGATAATGATCAAACAAATAGTAATAATGCATCTGGTGATGATGATTATAAAACAATAGATAGTGATGAAGAAGCAGATGATGATTATAATGAAACAAATCCCGGTGATCAAGCAACATTTGAAGATAATGATACAACAACAGAAGGTAATGAATGTTCCACTGATGATCATGATTCAACATCCAGTAGTGATAATTCATCAACTGATAATGATGATAAAACAATTCTTAGTCCTGATACAGCAACAAAAGAAGATGTTGAAAAGAATGATGAAACTAGTGATGACGAATATGGTTATTATAATCCAAAAGACAGAAGAAGGTGGAAAGAAGAAGGTGGAAAGAAGAAGAATAAGTAACAGTTTATTAAACAATTTTTTATGTGAACTTTGTCAGATCAAAGTTTTTTTTAAATAAAGCTTTTTTTTTCTATCAGCTAGTCTAAGTCTCATTTTTTGTTTTTTGAATTTTGATTTTTCTATAACGATTAATAAAACTTGTTAAAACGTCTTTGGTTTTCATTAATTAAAGTACTTATTTTCCATGCAAAAAACTCAAAATCCATTTTTTCCAAAAAAATCATATTTTTCATGCAAAAAACTCAAAATTCATTTTTTCCAAAAAAATCATATTTTTCATGCATCCGGTTATAGAAACGATCATAATTTTCGGACAAAAAAGGCGTGTTGGAAAAAAAAACATATCACATCTGAAAGATCGGAAGGCGGGCTATCTTCCTATGCGGTTATCTCAATTTCGAAAAATTTGACGAAAATTGGTTTTTTTAGGGGGGGGGGTGGCCTTAACTGTAGCCCTGGGCAGAAAGCCCATCACATTCTGGATTCTTGCACTCAATTGCTTGAGCTACCCATGCATACTGACTGTACCTTGCAGAAGCGTGTGGAACAACATAACAATTCAGCCCATGGTGGTTCATGTGAAAAAGATAAAATTTTTCTGCTCATTATTTATCATCCATGTTCGAATGAAGAATCAAAATTCCATCACCTGACTCTCTCGAAGATGAATGATCGCCTTTGGATGAGAAAATACGTTCGAGAAATTCCAATTCACGTTGAGTATAAGAATGATATCATAGCTCAGGCTGTATCATACTTTTGATGAATTCACGATAGATGTCGAATAAATAGGATTTGAATCTCGTCATTCTATCTTTTTCTGTGATAGAACTAGAAGCATCATCAATGAAGACATATCTCACGTTTGATACCACTCAAAACTCACTTGAGGGTGTGAGTGTGGATGAGTATGAATGGAGAAAACATTGTCATCCACACACCCTTTTCAGTCAGCTTTCCTCATAAAATCTTTTACGATTTCCCACAGTTTCATCTCGGTGAGGACGTATTAGTGGAATGTCTGCAAAGATGGATGTGACTGGTTGATTAATTAAAACATTAAAAAAGTCGAGTTCGTCATAAGTGAACTGGACAAGTATTCTTCATGTTACGTTGATGTTATGTTTCAATAAAATAGCAATCTTTACTTAATCACTGTTCAATTACTTTGTCTTGTTCGTCTGATTGATAGTCAAAGCATACAGAAATAGAATGTACATCTACTAAGTCTCAATTATTGAATGTTAGGAACTCTCTTTGAATAAACGTTTTTACTACTCAATATCTGATTCATTAATCATTTTTACCGGAATGATCATAGTTATCAATATTTTTAAAAATAACCACTCGTATTAGAAACTAAATTGTGAAGTAAAAGAAAATTTTAAACATTAGAAGTATTTTAAACAGTTGAATTATTTTTTCGATGAAACATAATTTTCATATTAAATATTGGTGATCGATGAGATTTTAATATAGTTGATTTTCCTACTGAAAATACTCATCCAATGAGTATTAAAATTATGCTACACAAGTAGTCAATAACTGCTATGTGTGATCATACAGATTGTATACCCTAAATGTTTTTTCCGTTCAATATTTAGCAAAATAACTAGTAATGCACGAGAATATACACAAAATAGATACAAGTTTTTGGAATAAAGGAAGATGAAACAATAAAGCGAATGAAAAAAGAATAACATGCAAGTTATTTTAATAACTTATTTACACATTACCCTCTATTCTAATCTAACAAGTCATGTATACTACGACATAAGTAAAAGCAAAATGCGTTTTTGTTCAATTGTTAACTTCTTACTGAACTCAAGTTTTTTTTCTAAAACTTATTAATGAAAATTAATGGAAGGAAAGGCAGTACGTGAATAATATAATTTAAATTAGTAAAGTTGGTATGTAATTATACACATTTTATTATAAATTATTAGATGGCTACAGATAGTCATGAATTTAGGGTGTGGGTGTGGATGGGTGGCTGTGCGTGTGCGTGTGTGTGTGTGTGTGCACTCTAAAAAGAATCGGTTTTTTACCGAACCCCCAAAAAAGTTTCCGGAGATATCTAAAAGCGTCCAAAGATGTCCAAAGTCTCAAAAAAAGGATAAAAAAATCTACGAAACCTTTAAAGGTTCTTACCGTGTACCGAGGATAAGAACCTTTTCCTGCGAAACCTTTTTTTGAGTTCCGTACAGCAGAAAAAGGTTTCGTAGGAAAATACGAAACCTTTAAAGTTTCGTATTAAACTCTACGAAAGCATGAGGGTTTAGTACGAAACTATTAGGGTTTAATATGAAACTCTAAAGGTTTCGTATTTTCCTACGAAACCTTTTTCTGCTGTACGGAACTTAAAAAAAGGTTTCGCAGGAAAAGGTTCTTATCCTCGGTACACGGTAAGAACCTTTAAACGTTTCGTAGATTTTTTTATCCTTTCTTGAGACTTTGGACATCTTTGGACGCTTTTAGACGTCTCTGGAACCTTTTTGGGGGTTCGGTAAAAAACCGCTATTTTTAGAGTGAACGCCCATACCCACGCCCAATAAAATAGGACAAACATACGCACACCCATAACCATGCACCCACATTCTGACAGACTAAGAGATAAGGCAAGCAGCAATCAGTAACTCTTACCTGAAGTTGTCAATGATGGTGTGGGCATCACATTCGATCGAAGAAAAGACACTTTTCCTGGACCCAATGCAACGATAGAGAAAGATCCTGTCAGACCATTATCGAACGTTGTGAAAATCAAGATGTAAGTTGTACCAGCCTGAAGCGTGTATGAAATAAAAAATTGATCACTTGTACCACTCTCATCATCATCATCAGCAGATGTAAGAAGATTAGACGTAACATTCGATGGATCAAATGGATTCATGTACAAATAACCATAGCCGTCTATCGTACTGTAACTTCGAAATGTGTAATTGCCTGTTCTTTTTGGTGTTATGTGAATTGCTTCAAAATAAAAGATTCCTACACCTCCCTTGCGAGTAAATGTCGAACTATGCATGTCTAATGAACTTGAGTAATTCGATGCAATGCTAACCATATTGTTTCCATTTGACAGAGCAACTATTTGAAAGAATATTTTTGTTCAACGTTAAGTCTCGGTTATCAGTGTGAAACTTTTTTAACTGAAAAGGGTCATTTTGCACAGATATCAACTAACTTACATGGATGCTGTATATCACTAGAATGTGTTTCACTGTCAGAGTTATTCGTGTCACATCCTCAAATCCCATTCATCTCTACAGGTATTGAAAAGTTATTGATGTTTGCTGATTATCATACTCTCTAAAAAAAAGTATCATACTGAACCTTTTAGGATTCTAGATTTGGGTACCATTTTCAGAAGCTTTTGAGATTCGAGCAAAATACAGTTCTATCTCCAACGTTTTTATTTCTTCTTCCGAAAATGGTTCTATCATGATAAAACGCAGTCCATTCAACGCTTTCCTTAACTCTATGCTTTCCTCTTATTCCTATATCTAACCATTTACTTCTATATCCCTTAATCCCATAATTATATCCTTACCATCCTATTTCTATATCTAACTCCTTATTCTTTACTTAACCCCTTCATCCTATCCTTAACCTCTTATTCCTATATCTAACTCCTTATTCCTATACTTAAACACTTAATCCTATTCTGAACCTTCTTAGTCGATGTTTAACCCCGTATTTCTATATTTAACCCTTTATTCCTGTATCTAACCCTTTACTTATATTTCTAATCCTCTAATTCTATGTTTAACTCTTTTGTTCTATCTTTAACCGCTTATTTGTATATTTGATCCGTTATTTCTTTGCATAATTCCTTATTTCTATGTCCAATTCTTTAAGTCTATGATTCATTCCTGACTTCTCTATCTAACCTTATATGTATATCTTAATTCCTTACGTCTATATCTAAAATCCAGAATTTATATCTAATTTCATATATTTATCGCTGATTTCTTCACCTACATTTAATCTACTGTATTTGCGTCTATCAGTCTTTCTTCACGTGTATTCGAATATCTGTGTTCATATCAGGAAATCGACACATACATGAGTGTAAGTATTTCTGTCTCTTGCGTCTATTCGTCTTGCTGTGTGTTAAACTCTAAATGAAGAAATTTTATTCTCTGTAAACCAACTTGAATAATACGAAAGTCAAGGGACGCGAAAATGAATATACTTTAATTGTTTAAAATGCCTGCTGAACAAACGTTCTGTCAAAGGAAAAAAGGTTTAGCAATTTTTTATGATAATCCATTGAAACAAGCAATATCGCAAAAAGCTATAGCAAACTCAGAATTGAAGTGATTCATGAAATCCAAGTACAAGGCACTGTTGAGCGGGCAGAAACTCTCTCTATCGAGAAAATGCTAAGACCTGAAAGATTTAATAAAAAAAAATTCATGCAGATATATTCGTTGCTTTGCATATTATTCTCCGGCGGTAACTTCTCACGGAAGAGTATGACGCCTAAACACACTAATGAAATATGGAAACGCAATTTGAAAGTGAATGGTAGATAGATCAATCTAGGAACGATTTAAATTGGTTGTGTTTTTGACTAGCGAACAGTTGGTTTCATTATGGGAGTATCGAAGAAAAATGCTTTAGTACGAAATCTTTCTACTACAATAACTTTGAGAGGTTTATTGCAAAGTTTTTTCTGCTGTGAAACCTGGAAAAGTTTTTATGTCAAAGCTTTCAGATTATGCAGTTTTTAGAGAGGTTCATTGCGTTTGTATGATACTTTAAAGGTATCGTAAAATTTCGCGAAACTCTAGATGATTTCTTCAATATCTGTCGTTTTTTCATGTGGTTCAGGCGACTTTCGCTAGAATCATCTTTGTAAAAGCAGTTCAGCATTAGACAAAAAGGGTGCGAGATAAAACCCTTTTAAATGTCTGGAACCATTTATGATTTGGCATGGTTCTTTAAATTAGCTAGAACCTTTGATGGTTTATTAATAAATGAATAAAACCTTAAAAGGTTCAGTATCTTCGCTGGAACCACAAATGGTTCCATATGATATCCATTTTTTAAAGTGAGCACAGATTCAACTATCATGAAATGACTTGTTGAACGATACAAAAGGTATTCGATATTATTCTATCACTATTCCTCTCGACCTCATTCAATTTATCATAGAACTATATCATTCGTCGTTGTGGGATGTGGATGTTGCTGTGGATATAGAAGTATGGATTTGCTCTCTAAAAAAAGATGTCATAGTGAACCTTTTTTTGGTACCATTTTCTGAACCTTTTTTCAGTTCTAGACATGTTCGATAGAACTGAAAAAGATTTAGCCGAAAAGTCTAGAACCTTTATGACTTCTATATTTGCTGGCTACAACCGAAAAAAGATTCAGAAAATGGTACCCAAGTGTAGAACCTTAAATAGTTCAAGACCTTCGCTAAAACCTTAAAAGGTTCAGTGTTGATGAATGAGAGACATGCATCCAGATCTACATCCAGATGCAATTTCTCGTAACTCAAAGCAAGCTAAAACCTGATGTAAATGTCTCTACTCGAGCAGTTTCCATTATTGAAAGAATTGAGAACTCAATGAATTTGGAAAACTAATGAAAATCCTGAAGTTCATGGAATTCACGAAGTGAACTCCCTAAAAAAAAGGTGTCATACTGAACCTTTTTTTCACTTCTGGACATTTTCTTCAGTACTGAAAACGGTTTAGTCAGAAAGTCTGAATTTTTTTGGAGTTCTGTGCTTTTTTACCAGAATCCCAGAAAAGGGTCTGAAAATTGTACCCAAGTTCGGAACCTTAAAAGGTTCAGTATCACACCTTTTTTTTTAGAGGGAAGCAACTAAAGAAATTAAAAAAATGACAGACACACACGTAACTAACGGCATGAACGAAATTCGAGACACTTAAGTGATCCACGCATCCCAAGATCTTTGAGGAAATCACACAACTAACAGATCTCAAGAAACTCAAGGAAACCTAGGATGCTAAGGAAGATAAGAAAGTTAGGAAACCAAACGATCCGATAGATACAAAAAGTGTCTGAGTGTTGGCACTAGGCGTCAATACGACACTCGCATACTCACTTCCTACGCACAGCTATAATTGCAGCCACACTTACCCTCGGTAGAAAATCGTTGAACTCGATGATTTCCGCTATCGACGACATAGATATTGCCATGACCATAGAAGAACAAACCATTGGGATTTACCAATTCTTTAGCTCGCTCGCCACGATTTCCACCCACAAGGACAGTGCCCTGTTTCGCTTCTTTAGGCCAACGCATCACTCGATGATTCGACGAGTCAACCACATAGATGGTACCCAGAGTATCAACAAATATACCGCTAGGATGCCACAATTGTGTCAGAGCCATTCCTGCACGATGACCACCCGCGACAACAATACCTTTTTTTGCACCTTTATTCCATTTCATCACACGATGATTGAAGGTATCTGACACGTAGACAGCCTTTTCTCGATCGATAAAGATATGAGTCGGCCGATAGAGTTGATTGACACCAGCACCTCGTTTTTTCCTACCGGCTACAATAGTTCCATTCTTGTTTCCTATTTGATATCGTCTTACTTCATGTTTTTGGTAGTCAGATATGTAGAGATATCTCTGATTATCCATGGCCAATCCGTAACAACTGATGTTGTCAAGAAGTATTTCTCCTTGAGTTGTTCCATTACGACGAGACCATTGTACGACTCGTCGATTTTCTTTATCACAAATAATAAGACTGTCTGTCTCTGCATCGATCAACACATCAGTTGGTCGATTCAATTGATTCAATCGATTCCCTTTACCATGACCACCAGCTACCACTTTTCCATTCGTATCATTCATCTTCCATTGAATGATACGGTCATTGCCGGAATCAGTGATGATCATCATTTGATCATCGTCAACGAAGAGACTGTAAGGGTACTCAAATTGATCGTTAGCATTTCCTTTTCCATGACCACCAGCAACAGTCACTCCATTCTGTTCCCATCGGGCATTAGCGGAAACATTGCGAAGCACTACAATGAAGAAAAAGCAAAAAAGAAATCGCCATCGTTGTCTAAAAGATCTTCTCTCTCGTTGTGAAAAATGCTACAAAAAAACATGATTCTTCGATACTCATGTAAAATTTGTTGTTCAAAAATATCAGTATTGAGTACTTTCCGCGTCATTCTGTTAAATAGAAATGGTATAGATGAGTGAACTTCCCAAGTAACTATAAGTATACTTATTAATGAAAAGTAATTTTTATTATTTCCAAAAACACTAAAAAGGATTTTTTTGTTACTTATAAATAAATTTATAGCTTCTTAAAAAGATTTACTTGTAATTACTCTTTCTATTTTAAGCAATCGAGCAGAAAGTATTTAATAGTGAGCTTTTTGGATTACAATTTTTACAAGGAAAATATCCTTTATTACCTAGCGCGTCATAAAATTTTTCACGAATCACTAGTCTCATAGTACTTTTTATTACTTACATTGTTATATTACTTTTTAGATTTACATTGTACTTATTTCATTTCCAGAGACTAGATTTGAACTTTTTAATTTGATTCCTTTACTTTTTCCACTTCTATGAATCCAAAAACCTGGATACTAACCATTTGATCAATCTTGTATACAATATACATGCAGGAAATCACATTATAAATTGATCGAGACTGAGATTAGGTGATTACAACTTAAAAGCATTATTACTAGAAAGTACTTAATAATATTTTTCTTTGCAAGGCACTTAAAGTAACTTTTCTGAGTAGTAATTAATAGTGACTATTTTTCTAGGACTTATAATAATTTTAATCCTATGTGCTCGATGATAGTTTTATATGTAAGATACACGAAGTCATTTTTTGACGAAGTACTGCGGACTAGATCGAAAATGTGCACCCATAAAGGAGTTTCTAGTCGTAAAATAAGAAAAAAGCACTGAAAATTCCAAAATTACTTAAAAGCGCTTGTAGGAATGCGAACAAATAGTACTTTCAACAATTAAGTAAAATAAAGGACCTTGCCGGATTTGGTGACCTATCTAAAACTAGGATGCCATATATATGGTTTTGTCGAGCTTTTAGAGGCACATCGAATGGTATATAGAAAGTCAAGTTTTCTTCATGTTTTTATGTACTTATAGTCTAAATACTGTTTAGAGTCCTATAGGAACATACATGGTATTCATAGGCACCATGTGTCCCTATGATGATTCAGAAGAAATTTATGAGAATTTTATATTTATACTCACTTCAATACTGTTATGTATGCTCTTTAATTTTTTATAGTCGATAAGTTTTATTGTTACTTTTTTATAATTAGAAAAGGATCGTTTGCCTTATGACTAGATTATCTATTGACTAAAGGATATTTCAGTGTTCTCAATCCTGTACCACGGAACAATTGAGTACCAACGTGAAACTTTCTCAAAAACTACATCCTATCGGGCTCTACATGTTTTATAAATAAAATCTTTCAGAATAGCAGGAGCTCATTGTCTACCCTCAAGATAGATCTCTCAAATGGCCTTTCTTCGTAAACAAAAGCAACAGTATATTGACAATATTTTTACAATATTCAGCAATCCTATTAAAAATTTTTATCGACTAATAATCAGTGAAGAATTCTTGATCGATTGTTGTAAATAGATTCTTTGGAAATTAAAAAAATATTTTTGACCTCAGGACTCCTGGAGGAGGGTACAGGGATAAGGTTCAAATCAGTAGTCGAATTATTTTTCCTATTTCCTTCACAAATTTGGATTTCGATTACACAGACCTGATTTATGCATGAAGCTGTAAAAAAATCTACAAAGATCTTGGGCTAACTGCAAAAAAAAATGTTTCAATTTTTTCAATATCACTGTACCCTCCTCCAGGAAGTCCTGAGGTCAAAAATATTTTTTCCAATTTCCAAAGAACCTATTTACAACAATCGATCAAGAATTCTTTACTGATTATTAGTCGATAAAAATTTTTAATAGGATTGCTGAATATTGTAAAAATATTGTCAATATACCGCCGCCTTTATTTACGAAGAAAGGCCATTTGAGAGGTCTATCTTGAGGGTAGACAATGAGCTCCTGCTATTCTGAAAGATTTTATTTATAAAACATGTACAGCCCGATAGGATGTAGTTTTTGAGAAAGTTTCACGTTGGTACTCAATTGTTCGATGGTACAGGATTGAGCACACAGAAATATCCTTTAGGCAATAGATAGCCTAGTCCTAGGGCAAACGATCCTCTTTTAATTATAAATAAATGTAGAAATGTCGGATTTAAATCCGAGAGTTATGTGTACTTCAAAAAGTGAATGAGACAGATGAGTCATCCTAGAATGTGTGAATGTACAAATTATCCTGGCAAACCTTTTCTATAGAAACTTGATTTCTATTGGCTACTGCTCGACCAATAGTATTTCGAGGCAAATGGGACTTAGATTCGAGTTCTCCGACCCAGAAAACCTCAAAGTATCATCTCTGTGATCAAAAGACAGAGCTCTAATTGTGGATCGATTAGAGCGTGGATAAAAACAGAACCAATTCCCGTTTAATTATCTTTGCAATAGGTGAGTTAGCCTTCTTGTTTCTTCATGTTTTATATACCATTTTGTAGCTTGTGAAATTTTCTATCGAATGATATATCATAGTTGGACTTTTATTTGATTATGATAGGAAAAGTGTTTTACGAAAGCGAGGGTAGGTCGATTTTCTTATAGGAAGGCATAGGGAATAATGACTATTTTTTCAATAACTCAGGAACGGCTCGGCCAATCATTCTCATCTTCGAACTCAGCCGAGATATTGTTGAGACTAAACTATGTAGAAAATTTCATCGCAATCGGACTCTCCTTTCCAAAGTTATCGTGCAAACGACCGGTCGGACACACTGACCGATTCTAGAGTGTACTTACTTTTTGAGTACACAAAAAGTAACAATAAAACTTATCGATTATAAAAAGTTAAAGAGTATACATAACAGTATTGAATTGAGTGTACACTCGAAATTCTCATAAATTTCTTCTGAATCATCATAAGGACACATGGTGCCTATGGATACCATGTATGTTCCTAATAGACTCTAAACTGTATGTAGACTGCAAGTACATGAAAACATGAAGAAAACTTGACTTTCTATATACCATTCGATGTGCCTCTAAAAGCTCGACAAAATCATATATATGGCATCCTGGTTCTAGATAGGTCACCAAATTCGGCAAGGTCCTTTGCTGAAAGAATGACGAATTAATATTGAGTACTTGTTTGATGAGAAAATTTTGCAACTAGTGGAAGAAAGTATATTTAAAAAATTCAAATGGTGAAATAAAGCGAAAAGTCAAGTATTTTTTCACATTGATCCTGTGGATAGTGCTTTTATTGAAAATTTGTCAGTTATTCTTTTACGTGGTATATTCGATCTATATCCACTTAAATCAAGAACGATAATACAGCAGTAACCACGATCCAAAACTTGGCAATTCAAGGAATTCAACAAACCCATATAACCTGAAGCATATTGCTTGAAACTATCGTAGAATTTAAGGAATTCTAGAAAATCGAGCAATCCAACGAAGATTGAGGAAATTCAAGAAATTCAACACATCCATACAATTTTGAATAATATCCGGTGAGTTTCGTGGAATTTAAGCAATTCAAGGAAATGTAAGAAATTTAACGAAACTCAAGAAACTCAAGGAAATTAAAGAATCGAGTGTGAGTGTAGATAAATCAAAGATTCACACCCACCTCCCTATGTATCTTCGTTGAATTGCTTGAATTCCATCACAGTTTAGACTTATAATTGACCACGTTGTGGAGCTTTGTTGAATTGCTCGAATTTCTAGAATTTCCTGGAATTATCTATAATTGCTTCAATTCCGTAAATTCCATCAAAGTTCAGACTTATAACTGACTATGTTAGGTATTTTCGTTGAATTGCTTGAATTTCTAGAATCTCCTTGAATTGCGAATTTCTGGATTATGGTCATATCTCAGTCGTTCGAAGCCATTATTCAATCTCAACAACAAATTTTTCATCATTATCTTCACAAACTTTTTATTCATTATCAAGGGAGAAAATCATCAGTGTATATCACAAATATGCTGTTATCTATAGAACTGATGTATATTATTATCAACCCTCCATATAAATATTTTCTTTTTTATAATCTCCAGATGAAATGTATATTGTAGTAAAAAAAACCATCTTTTTTTCTGATGTATTTTTTTTTTATTGTTTGATTTCTACTTTTTATTTTTGATTAATATACCATAAGGTGTAGTGAAATTTGCACTTTCTCTCTATATACCAATGATCGAAGAAAAAAGCGGATTATTATAATCTAAACTAAGGAATACCAAGGAAGGGAAGGAAATTCAATTAAGGTGCATTGAATTATACTTCACGATGTGGAAAAGTGATACTATTGAGTATATTTACAAAGTTCGAAAGTCTTTGTAATTACTTTGTCGAAATTTAAATGCACAGTAAAGTGCTTAAGAAACTATAAAAAGTAATATAACATACTTCATTGTTGGAAAAGTACTAAAATTTACTAAAAAAGTGAAAAATAGTAATAAAATTTGATTTATTTTACTTTATCAGTATCGAATGTGCTTAAAAGTGGATTTCTTTTGCATTATTTTTTTCATGGACAAATTGGAACTTGGTAAAACTTTTGATGAATGAGCTTGAGAATATCCTTTTTCAAACATACTCTGTAAGCAAAAAAAATGATATTTTACGAAACTTAGAATAGGTTCTATTCCTCAACAGAAACTAAGAATTCTTTTTTTTGGATTATACATGGAAAATGTTTCTTACAGAGTCATACATCTTCGGTATAGGTAGGTGGATGTGTGGTGTTCATTTCTAGCACCTATATCCATGTACTTTTTCTCCTCCCTCAAGACACTCTCGGCTTATTAGTCAAGAAAGTTGTACTTTTCCATGGCTGAGTTCTAGCTAAACTTGTGCTGTACAGAATAATTCAACGTCATCATTTCATCTGGAATAGATCCATGTGGTTAATAATAAATACTGTAACTTACCACCTGTATCGATTATGCGTCCATTTACTTGGTTTAAGAATGATAAGATCAATAATATTGATGCATAATAGTATAGAAGCTTTGTTTTCGAATCAAACATATTCATATTGAAGTATTCATAAAAAATAAATAAATATATTAAATGAATAATAGAATATCTCGCATCGTCTCAGCCTTTATATACATGCATCATCTTAATATGTAGTGGAATATTTTCCTTTTTGAGATAATCCCATACATCAACAACTTTTTTGATATCTTCTGTCATTGAAAGATGCGTCCTAATGAAACTTATGTGAAGCGAATTTGTTGACACAACTTTCAGAGTAGTGATATGATGATATGCATACACTGTCGTCGACGTCTCCACACTGTTTTTCTGTTGTGCTCTTACATGTATCAAGTGGCTTATCATCCAGTCGACACTTCTCATTTTATTTCTTCTAAAAGATATATATGTGAAAGTGTCCTACATATACGATCCATAAGATCGATTAATATTTTCAACACGTTTATTAATCATAATAAGTATTTTCTCTAATAAACAGAAATATCTATCATATATTTGTTGAAGAACATTTATGATTTGTGCGTAAATTATTCAGTTGTTTTCTTTCAAAAAAAAACATACAAATCCAATGATTTTTGAAAAGATATTTCACTAACTATATCTAATTGATCACTATAACATGCATTTCCTGTCAATAATCTTTCACAGCAAATGATAACAAGAACAAAATAAAAGTAGAAGAAAACAAAGTTTTAACCTTTTTGTGGTAAATGTAACAATGGTCATTCCACATTGTTCTTGTTCTCATTAAGAAAAAGTCTATGAGAAAAACGATCAATTTCTACATATATTCAAGCATGAAAACTTTTTTATTTTGAAATAATTTATACCATCCAAAAGCTCGTGAAAAGTCATTCTCAAATCTAAATTTTTAACCTTTTCTAAAAATTCTATCAAGAGATATAAAGAGATCTTTGAACCCACCCTCAATATGATCTCATAAATTTTGGTGAATTCTAGAAAATTCAATTTAATACTTCACAACAACATGTTTTATTATTAAAGATCTCTCTTTTTTAGTATTATTTGCGGTATCTTAATTAGATTTGTTAAATACACCATCATAAAACGTGATTATCAAATATAAATACCGTCCAATGCATTTTGTTTTACTCAAAAAATAAGCAAAAATAATCATGTTTTATGGAAATATTTTCTATCTTTGTCCTAAAAATATATCATAGCAATTGTCTTCCAAAAATCTTTTAGCATCAGAAAATAGCTCGTGAAAAACTATACCTTTCTATATATCACTCACTTGGGTAGCGCTTAACAGGCTGATTCAATTTTTCAACATGAATAATGACCACTGTATGTTCTTTTTATTTTTATTACTTTTTCTTCTCTCTGCTAATGTCGTGAATAAAGATGTGGATATTATTTCAAATTTATTCGCATTGTGAATATATGAATCTATTATCCTATCGAAGAATATTTTATCATAATTAATAACTAATTCTAAAATCCTGGTATGTCATGATCTCTAAATATACACGAATCTTTCAATGGGAATTTGCTGTTAGACTTTCTAGAAATAATACGTTCATTTCTAAGTCATTTTTATCTTATTTTCTTATCTCTTTTGATCGTTTACCAGTAAAGACAAATCGTTCACATTTTTCTCATTCTCAGAAGTATGTATTTTGACGTCCGAATGGTTTTTGTTTGAATGTACTTCATATGAAATATACCTCTATACAATCAAAACTTTAAATAATCGTTCTAATATTTAATCTATACATCTCAGATATTTATTTTGGACATTTCTAATTCAATTTATCTACTGAATTATTGATCATTCATAATTATTTGAAATGTGTACATTGAAGATATAGAACATGATACATATTAATGATACCTTTGACCGATTTTTTTTATATACAATGAACAGATGTACGTCTGAGGCGAACAAAAGAAAATTAAAGTTCAATAGCTTTTGAAAAATAACAATTTGAATAATCAATAAAGACTATGAGAATAAAGATATAGCACAGTGTTGTAGACTTGTGGTTAGGTATAGCACATGCAATTTGTCGTATCACTTATTAATATTAAATTATAAGAAATAAATTAGAAGCAGTCTGATTGGAAGAATTGTTTTATATTACGGTAAAACTAGGGTTAAGTTATGTACATTTGCAAATGTCAGGAACAAAACAGCGTCAAATGAGGTTAAATAGATATCTTCTTGAGGATGTAGGTGTGTGTATATGGATGTGGAGTGTTAGAGTGGATTTCAATGAAGAGAAGAGTAACATCCACACCCACACTCACACTGATGCCCTTGGCCTTCTGAGCAGTACCGATTCGGACAAAGAGATAGTAAAAGAAGGAATGTACGATGGTTGGTTACTTAACTTGTGCAAGAGATATAGTTTCATGGATCACCAAGTGTCTGTCTGTACATAAACGACTATTGACTATACTAAACCGTTCAACATGAATGTATTTTAGTGTATGATGTCATATAAGAGAAAATGATTTACGAAACATTCGTTAGTGTTTATTTTCAAAAAAAATTTCAATTAAATGTGTGTTTAACATTGATATATCAGTGATGGCTACTGTTAGAAAAAACAAAGATAAATGCAATGAAAGACATTAAATATTTTTTTGCTTTTTATTTTGTAGGATCATGCATTTCATTTTTAACATCATTATGTAGAAGATTTAAACCTTGATCTAATAAGCAAGCGAACACAAACAATCGGGGTTAGAAAAATACAATATGTACAACACTGTTTGGTGATGAAGATCAACCTCGTCTTCGTTATATGTATGAACTATGAAGATCATTGTTTTAATACAATAAATCAACAATTTATATATATGTGTTTATGTTAAATGTGCTTCAAAATATTTTTTTGTAATTTTTTTTTTCGAGAATAAAAATCTACGGAAATCAGAAGAGAAATATAACTGATAACAAGAACAAATTTTCAAGTTGAAATAGATGATCAAAACTACTGAATACAACCGATATTTAATAAATATATGAATGTGCATAAGAAGTTTTTTTTTGATAAATTAATTTGAAATATGATATTGCATTGATAAATGTTGATCATCTGTCATTAAACAATAATTATTAAAAGGATGAGTCATTTTATCTTGATCTTCACCAAATAAAGAATTTTCAGTCTTTAGACTAGGATTATGTTGTTTATATCAATGTAATGAAATGAATTCTATTATGATGAGAAGAAATTATTTAGTAAAGTTTGAATTTTAGGTTTGAGTATGTAAAAAGACAAGGTATGTTAACATATTCACGTGCACTCGAAAAATAAAAATAAAAACGTCATGGTATTGAAATCTTTTGTTTTGTGCTATCTGCACTCATACTCATCGTTTGCATCAACGTCAAAATGGCCATGTGCGATTTTAATTAAATTTTTTCTTTTTGTTTCTTGCGTTCTATGATGTTAATGGGATATGCGTGCACGTGAGAGAAACAATGAAAGAATAATTACTGAGGAGGGAGTATTCTCGTTTCGTCGAAAGCTTAATTAATTTTCCCGTTTCGTCGAAAAATTTCATGTATTTTTTTCCCATCATTCTTGTTTCGTCAAAAATAAAAATACGACTGTTCTCATTTCGTCGAAACAGTGAAATGTAATGAGATGAACTAAGATGAAAGGGATCATCTTAATTGTTTTGATTGTCTTGAAGTGTTCTTGTTCTAAACTAATTAATTAAAACTCTTAAGCGAGTAAATTGGAAAAAAAACAAAGAAATCTATCTATCTGTCTATATATATATATATATATTTGCAACGATAAGTTCAATCTCACTGATTGTGCTATAGTTAATTTGAATAAAGAATGATGGCAACTATTGTTGAAAGTAAACGTAAAAAACCTACATTACTTCTCGATAATTTCCGTTACACTCAGGACAAAATATTAAATACCACGATTTATTGGAAATGTGAAAATCGTTCGTGTCCTGGTCGTGCAATTCAATATGATTCAAATCCATCACGCATGACAAAACTACATAATCATGAAGGTGATGAAGTTAGATGCAAAGTTGAAGAATTAAAAATGAATTTAAAAAGACATATTGAAGATTCACCACAGCCAGTTAAAAAAATTTCCAGAGAACATATAATATAATTATATTCAACGTCTCCACAAATTACACCATTTACACCAATGTTTCACGAAATGAAAACTTCATTATATACAGCAAGACATTCAAGTTATCCACCTGCTCCACGTAATATTGATGATGTCAATATTGAAGGAATATGGAGTAAAACTTTAAATGGTGAATTATTTGTTTTACATAATTTAAAACATCCCATATTTGGTAATTTACATTAGAATCACTTAACCAATTATCACAATGTGATCATGATCATTTATTTTTTGATGGAACATTTAAATCATGCCCGAATCCATTTTATCAATTATATTCAGTTCATTCAGCAAACAATGAATTATCAACACCAAAATTGTACACCTTATTAGCTGATAAAAAAGGTTCAACATACATACCAATGTTTAATTGTATATTAAATTTATGTCATACAAACAATATTTGCCTTAATCCTAACGAGGGGACCGATGCAACTGATAAATCGCTTTTGAGTTCAGACTCTGTGCATAAGATAGACCCTCGTGAGGTATGAGAAACCCTGAAAGGACAAGTGCCCATAGGCCTTCTGTCCAGAGTTCTAGGCATTTTATTGGAATTTTAGCCTATGACACGGTGTATACCAATAAATCGAATGACGGTATTTCGAGCTGAGATTTTGCCCACAGAGGGGTCTATTTGTTAGTAGTATATCCTAAAAATTTCAACTCAAAAGAACATTTTTCTCCCGAGATATTACAGCCTCAAAAATCGCGCATATCCCACAAAGTCGCTAGAATTTCCTACTTTTTGGAACTTTAATATCTTGGGAAGGAAACACTCTTTTGAACTGAAATTTTCAGGACATTCTACTCACAAATAGGCCCCTCTGTAAGCAAAATCTCAGCTCGAAATACCGTCATTCGATTTATTGGTATACACCATGTCATAGGCTAAAATTCCAATAAAATGCCTAGAACTCTGGACAGAAGGCCTATGAGCACTTGTCCTTTCAGGGTTTCTCATACCTCACGGAGGTCTATCTTATGCACAGAGTCGGAACTCAAAAGCGATTTATCAGTTGTATCGGTTCCCTCGTAAGTATATTACTATTGACTTTGAACAAGCTGCTATTAATTCCATTAAATTGATTTTTCCAAATGCTATTGTTAAAGGATGTAATTTCCACTTCAATAAATGTATTTATACCAAATTACAAGATTTAGGATTTCAATCTGCATTTATTAACAAGAAATCCAGTGATATAAATGAAATTAATGTTAGAAATCTTTATAAAAATCATGTGCACTTGCATTTATACCACCACAAGAAATTAATAAATTATGGGTGATGATAATGGATGACTATCAAGATATTGATAATATTCAAGAATTTTATGATTATATAACAAGCACATGGACAGATGATGATGCATTATTTGATTATACATTATGGAATTATTATGATTTTAAAAGTTTAAGGACTAACAACAGCGTGAAGGGATGGCACCACAGACTAAATAGTGATTTAAATAATGTTGTACATCCACATTTTTATGTATTTATACGTGCAATTCAAAATGATTATGCTTATAATTCAGCAATATTATCACGTCATTTGCAAACTGATACGCTACCTCCACGGAAAAAATTATTTGTTAATCGAAATGCAAGATTAAATAATTTAGAAGAACGTTTCAAACAAAATACATTAACATTACATGAATATCTTGAAAAAGTTATGCAATTAATCGGAATAAAAAAGTATTGATTTTTCTTTGGTATATTCATATTCTCTTACTAATTTGTTATTTATGTATTTAAATCTGCTATACAATAAACTTTTTCTTGATAAATTTATCTACACATAATCAGGCGCTATTTCTGATTAGTAGGACAAAAAAACATCTCATCAAATGATATAATCTATTTTTCAAAAATTAATCAGAATTGATTTTTTCGACGAAACAAGAATAGTCGTTTTTTCTTTTTCGACGAAACGGGAATGGAAGAAAAAAAAATTTCGACGAAACAGGAAAATCAATTAAGCTTTCGACGAAACGAGACCTAACCCTGAGGAGATCATAGATTTTTTTGTTTCTTCCGGAAGAATTCGACCTTCTGTTATCGATGGTGAGGAGTGAATAATTACATGAGCAATTCAAGTGGATAATAACCAGAGATATCTACAGAGTAGGGTAGCGCAGGATAGAGTGTAGAACAGGGCAAGGTATCTATATTCTGCAAAATGGAAACTCAGATTTTCTAATTTTCATCCTGAAAAAGAGTGATGTTTGAGTCTCAGAGAGTTACAAATTAAAAATAGACTGTAGAGAGTAGTATCAACTGACGTTCAGAGTTTTATTCTAAAGATGTGCATTCCAATGAATATGGTACAATTAAAAACTAAATAAACTGACCATTGAAAAATTGTGTGTTATTTTTTCTCGTATTTTTACCACATTAAAGCAAAAGGTTAAGTTATGAGTTTTATATCATTCGATTTGGATGATGATGCTTACCTTGTGTCAACTTCTGATCTTTCTACTACAATAAATACATCTTTATCTTGTCTTATCAGTCATTCACAGTCTTCTTCAAATTTTTATATTGTTGAACAATTAAAACAATTGTTATTAAAAAACAAAGAGACGAAAATGTTCGTCTTGAAAATAATAATTCAATATTAAGTAAGGGCACCTTGGTGGCGTTCTTTTGGATATATAGCTGTTAAAAATAAACAAAATGATTTTGAACGTATAAATAGTTTCATACGTTGATTCAAATGTTATGATACATCTCGTTATAGATCTGCAAGTGGAACAAAATACATTGTCTTTTTGTTGTTGATTTGCATAGTCGTAGTGGTTATCTTACTTTTTGTTGTGTTTTTTCTTGGATATTTTGTTCAAATGAATTTTTATTGTAAAGCTTATGTATCTAAATTAATATATTGTATCATTTACTTATCTTGTCTTTTGTTGATATTCATATGTTTTATTAGCGAAAGTATGAATTATTATTATTATAAAATGACCTAAAATAAAACGATGCTCTATGACATCATAAGGAAACGTTTTTGCTTTTGAACTCGATTAAAAATTGCGATCAAAATAATGTATTAATTCTGCAAAGTATCCTGCACCGCTCCAGTGGACCAAGTAGGGCAGGATGCATCTTTTTTTCTTATATCCTGTTTGTGAGTGTGGAATCTGGGTGTTGCTTTGTTCGTAACTCATGCATATTCACTCACATATATACACTCCCATACAAAACAACACTTCAGTCACACTCACACCCATACCATAGGATTCCAATAAGCATTAACTTGAGAACAATTCCATATTGCCATTGGGTAACGCAAACATATGTACATGAAATTCATAATATCGATTGTTTGGTTTCAGATTTGTAAGAGTGCCAGTAACACGAATGCCGTAATCCAGCCACATTTACTTGCATAAATGTTATTGTAGCAACTGAGAAAGGACTCGAATACAGATGTAAATCAGCTTTAGCGATCCATGCCTTTGCTTGGGATTGAGAAGATCACAGATATTCGAACTAGATTATTACTTTTCAAAGAACCTTTCAATTAGAATGGTTTTTCAATATTTATTACACATAAATTCGACCTGACATATATTTACCGTAGATGAGTAAAACAGTAGTCATTAGTAATACACAGAACGAAACAAGTTTCATCATTGCGACGAATGTCTAATTCAGTTGTTTAGAATCTAAAACATATTTATGGAATGATTAGTCGGTTGCTAAATGATAAATATTATCTCAGACATAAGTTTATGTTTATATATAGAAAAAGAAAAATGTTTGTCTATCTCCTTATCGTTATCATCAATAACAGGAATCAGAATAAGAACTAAAACCCTAATAATGTTTTCTTTTTAATATTAACATTGAGACGAGCTGTTTCACAGATGTTTATATGATCGAGTACCTCAACACGCTGATATAAACAATCAACTATCTTCTTTCTATCAAGAAGGACACCGATTAATAGCATCTATTTCCATCAAATCTCTTCTTACTTCACCTTACTCATAGGATATATATGAGTGAATTGCAACTTTTTGATACGATTGGTGCGAAAAACTGAAAGTAGACCTAAACTATTTCTGAACAGTACATTTTATTATACTCTATGTCTATGTTACACAGCAGAAGCTTCTCAACATTTTACCACATAATATTTGAGATATGACTTATTCCAATGTATGTAAATGTACCATAAAAAATGAAGAATGTCCTTCTACAGCTCATCATGTAATGTAAATATCTCAGGAACAATAAGAGATAGAAGACCGATTTTTTTACTCAACATACAACTCTCAGAACTATATCTATAATAAAAATTTCAGCGAAAACAACTAAGCCGTTCACGAGTTATTCACATAACAATTCTCAAAAAGTCGTTCTACAAAGTGAGTGAAATTCGAATTTTTAGGAAATAATGAATTTCTTTTACTGAAAAGAAAAGTCATTCAGAAGAATTTTTTCCAACCATTTTGTTGGTAAATCGGTTGTCTTTCTTATGCCTACCTTTGTTTTCCTTCCACTTTCACACAGACAAAATAAATTGAACGATAAGATCGTTCTACACAAAAATGACAAAGTGTCTGTTAATTAAATATTTGGGGTCAATCGGTGCAAAAAGACAAAGAAAAAGCTACAATGGATATATCATTTGGTAGAGTATTTCAAGCTGTACAAAACTGACTAGTCATTATATTTTTTCTCTTTTCTTTTATACTTAGGAAATATCCTTTTCTTAGTACATCTCCATGTAAAATATGCCTTTTTAACAGTATAGGCTCGGTAACTCAACGACTGTAGAAGCTAGAGAGCTGAAATTTTGTATGGCAGTGAAACGTTCATAGACCAGTAACATATAAAAAATTGATCTAAATTGGTTCAGCAGAACGAAAGTTATTAATGAAATGCAGCTAAAATTTCAATCGTGCCAAAAAGTTGCAATTTACTCATCTATATATATATAAGTGATTGAGAGCAAGACATAACATACCATATCTATCGAGCACATGTAAGAACCGATGTTTTTCTGCATTCGTTCAGTATTAAAGCATGACAAATATATATTTGATAAGAGAGAAACAATCAGGTAAAGACTAAACCAGAAAGATTGTTATTCAAGAAAGAACACGAAGATATTATGACTCTATCAATTAATGAGATCAACAACTAATTTTTGTTTTTTTTCTTTTTCTTCTCCTTGTTGATTATATAAGTGTTTGATAAGAAAAAAATTCCATTTGATGGACAGAACAAGCAGGAAAGGTTACAATGAATTTCGAGACATTCTATAAGCATAACTCTATTTTAGTCAACTTGATGAATGTCATGTATTGACTTGCTACTCATCGATGCCTATTCGATTGAAACAAAGTCAATGTTAAAAACTTAATTTGCATTATTCCATTCGGTCTTCATTTTATCTCGAAATTCTGAATAATGTATGTCGGATATAGGATCAAATTTGTTAATACTGAGTCCATCATTATTAATATAATCGAAATATTCATAAGGGCTAATTTCATTGCTTCGATATTCATAGGCCTGAATGGTAATACACGTTTGATTTGGCGATCGATTCTCTAGTTTGTGAATCTGATTCAAACCAGGTGAAAGCCAAGTAACTTGATCTTTGTATAACGTCACCTCGTGAAATGGTTTTGTGCGTTTTAAATTTAATGTTCGATAGAATTTCACATTAATTCCACCATATAGAACTCGAATAATGCCATAAGTACTACCATGGGCATGAATAGGACTGTAATGACCGGGTGGCCAAATTTCTAGAACATAGGGAACACCGGGTGAAGTGCCTCTGTTCGTACCGATAGTAATTCTTAAATAAGTAGCACGCGGAGTCGATACACCGAATCTTGACGATTTCTCTTTTAGTTTTTTGTGACACCAACCTGATTCTCGCTGAATACTTTGCTCGATAGCTTCAAAAAAATAAGGAAAATCATCGTCCTGAAATTTCCAATTAATAATGTCCGAGTATAATCGTTGACATGGTTCTTCCAAACGTGTCAAGAGCACAGCAGAATTCTTAATAAAGATATCAGGACTTGTATTATTACTCGGGTCTATTATTAACAATGGCGGATCCAGAACAACAGGATAATGATTGATTTTAAGTTTCACTTTGTATTCATACCATTTATAGTCTGCCAATATACGACTACCACTAAATGAGACATGAACAAACTGGATCTGTCGAAGATCATTTCCTTCTAATGATGATATAAAACTTTGAAGCAATGTACATCTATCTCTTACTTCACCCTGCCCATATTTAACTGATAAAGATGTCCAATCGATGCTCAACCAATACAAATCTAAAAATAAGTCAATAATACCAATAATTCTTTTTTCTCTTCCTTTTAGATTGAATTCTATTTACCTTTTCCTTCATGTAAAAGATGATCGGGTTCAGTCGTTTGATTTATAAGGATTGTTATACCACGAACTATTTTACTAATTTGTACTTGTTGCATATTGACGACAAGACGAATAGCATAAGTCTCATTTTTTGGATCGTTACTAGTTGAGAGCATAAGTTCAAATTGCAATGGTACTTCTTCATCCATGACAATCGTCATTTGACCGGGTCGAGAAATTTTCTGCGTACAACTATCGGCTCGCCAAGGACACCAAACTTTAGTTGGTGGCCAAAACTCGTATGTGGGAATCATAGTACCGTTTATTGTTGATATAGTCGGCGACTGAACTTTGCAAGCTGCTATATCAAAATAAGAAATCAAGACAATTAGTAGTATTCATTTACGTCATCGAAATACGTACGTTTTCTTACTGTGCTTTGTAATATTGTGGTAAGATTTTCGATACTCGATCGAAAAGTATTTGCTAATCTCATTTGTTCTTCGATTCTTTGAGCATGGTTTTTCAATAATTGAGCTTCGTTTTGAATCATAGTTATATAGTTATCGAAATTCGTTGATGAGAAACTAAAAGTATATACAATCGATCAGGAATTTTTGTCATTTGTGAATTGATTACCAAGAAGAAGCTGATTTCAAATCCATTTTTCTCTATGAAAAAAGGCAATTCTATCGGCTCAATCGAAGAAAATATTCATACGAACCGGTTCTTTTTTGTTGCCCGATGATCTACGAGTACCTAAAATCGAGAAAAAACCACATAGATATTTTGATACGAACTAATCAAGCAGATATTAAGCATCTGATGATCTGGTCCTTCTTTGCATTCGTATCTCTTCGACTAAAGATCGAATGAGAAAAAAAGTTTAACATCAGTTCTATCGTTCACAATATCCTTTTAAAACTCACCTTTATCGCCTTTTTCTCCGTGTAACTTCTAGAACAAAAAAAACTTTAGATTCAATAAGATTCTTTGTCTAACTCGTTCCTATCCTGCTACTTACCGATGGACCTAGATGGATCAAAGCACATAATATACTATGAATACAAATAAAAAGAGTCAACATTATCAGTAACATGTTTGTTTTTGCCGAGAAAATAATTTTAAAAGATTGTGTAGAAGTTTTCGTAGATTTTGTTCTCATTATTTTAATATTTTACAGCTTTTTCTTCCAGCGGTACATGCATCATGCTCAATGGATCTGTAATCCTAATTTGAAACTCAAATTTCGATTGTGAGACCTTCATCTTCCGATACGAATCTCCTTCGAATCAATCAAAGCGAAGTTCTTCCTATTACCCAGTCAGACATACAGCGTCGATATTTTATCAATAATAGAAAGCCTTAAAAACACGAGCTTTTACAATAGTGTCAAAATTGAAAGTTGAGTAAGTTTGACATATATGAACTGGTAAAAGGATCAAGTTTTAATGGCACACAGTTTAATTTTCTTTCAATTATAAGAATAACAAAATTATAAAAATCACTCAACATCCATCGTAAATGTCAATTTTTAAAAGTTTCGTATTAATAAAGTTTATGCAACAAATCTCTTTTTACATCTCAAATTATTTTTGCCCTATTTTTCTTTTATACATAATCCAATTGATTCAAATAAAGTTTCTACAAATGAAATGCTAATAATTTTAATGTGACTGCACACATAAATGAGAAATGTCTTAACGTTTATTATCAATAGTTTTTCGTTCAGAAGCATTTGTCTAAAACTAAAATTGAAGATATATTCTGAATATTCTTGACACGTTCCACGAATCTAGTTACAAAAATAATATTAAATAAATCGTAATCGAATAAAAAATTGCTTCTCTTTTAATACATCATGTTAGAAGTTTGGTATTTGACACTATTGCTATGATTTAGACCAACAAAACAAAAAAATAATTAACAAAATTGATATTATAGAACTTGATTTATAGACAATTTTCTTTTCAGAACATAACCGCACAACGAGTGTGCTCTTCATTCATATATGAAAAATCTATAGCAAATTTTAAATGCTCTTAGTATAAAATCTCATATAGTACAAGTAACTAAAAAAGTCATTGTTATAAGATTATAATATCATTAGAATAACTAAGAATTTATCTCAGCTATTCCGCAAGTAACTCAGATTTATGAAAGATGAACGTTCTATCTAGGAATATTTCCAATACAATAATTGAATACTCAATAACTTTTAAAGATATACGATAAAAGTTATACTATACTTAAAAGTATCTCATCTAACGACTACACACGTTTTGTAAAAGTAACATATATTAAATTTGTTTCATGAGTTTCGAGGCCGTTTAGAATTTGTTTGTATAATTTTTGGAGGATATAAACTTGATCAGACATAAATAAAATATATTGAAGAATACCCTCATGTCGTCACTTTTTTAACAACTGCGTCGCAGTTACGCGTAGAGCCAATTCTGCGTCGCAGTTGCGCGTAACTGCGCGTAACTGCGAAATTTTGGTCGTAACTGCGCGTAACTGCGGCGCATTGATCGCAGCAAAAAAATCATATGTTCGACTACGATCGACTGCGACGCAGTTACGCGTAACTGCGAATAAAATGTCGCAGTTGCGCGCAACTACGGTAAAAAGTTCACAGTTACGCGTAGCTGCACCACAATTTTCCGCAATTACGGGTCACAGTGCGATCGCAGTTACGCGTAACTGCGTCGCAATTCGATCGCATTCAAACACATGGGCCTTCTAGACTATCATTCAAAATTTATTACAATCAATTATTATTATTAATAAGGAAGTAGATTATTAGAAAAAATTTTAAAAATATCTTTACCAACTATATTGACCATTGTTTTTTCGTTAAAAAGATGATGCAAATACCAATCATTGAGTGTGAGTCATTTCTATCATTCTGTTATTATGAAATCTAATTGTAAGCTAGGTATAAACATCGTATTTCACATAGTTAAGGTTAAAAAAAATAACGAAAACAGGTTAACAAAAATAAATTTGATAAACATATTTTACCATATTGTCTAATAATGGGCTTTCTTCGTAATGATGTCAGTTGAGTATAATAAATTTTAGATACTAAGTTACATGTTACTCTTAAACATATATATCTTCTATGTCTGTTCAACTTTATATATATTTGAAACAAATTTAAAACAGTTAAGATCAACTCTCAATTTATAGAACATCACATATATATACATATATTGCTTAAGACTAACTAATGATATCTAACTATAGCTGTTTGTTTCTTTATCGTTTCTGTTGAGGTGAACAGAAAAATTCATCATTTGTTTTTGCGAATATAAAATAAAAAGAAAGACGAACGGCTCACATTATTGCTAAACGTTCGATTCCTTAACTTACAACAGTGTTAACTATGTTAAAGTAAAGGATTTGAGTTCATGATGAAAATGAATTATAAAATAATTCAGATTTACACAATATCTGCAACGAGTCTTCAATACAATTAGTATAACTTATTGTATCACTTCATTCATTGTTAAGAATCAGTGTTTAGAATAAGTGTCCACCGACATTCATCCACATTCACACTCTAATACCTGATGAATCTCTAGTGTATGTTTGGAATTATTTTATAATTCATTTTTTTTCTGAATTATTTTGTAATTCATATACGTCTTCCAATGAAGGATTTCGATGAATGTACCGAAAACTTAAAGCTCAGTTCGTATTGAGATATTAATTTTGGATGATCAATCTATCAATTCTTAACTAATTATACGAAGAAAAAATGCAATAAGTTGTCAAAAAATATATAGATCTATTTGTATCAATAAAATTTAAAACTCTACGTAGAAAGATTCTACTTCTAGGATGAGAGAAATAGGAAAACTACAAAAAATAGATAAATAGAAGAGTAGTTCACAAAGATCAATAAGAATCGTAACAGAAATTATGCCGAGATGAAAAATGTAGAATTAAATAATAAGAGCTGAGACAAAAAATGAAAAGATATACGTTTTAACCGTGTTCGTTAACGATTCGATCATCAAAGTCACTTTTTATACGCTTGAAATATTTTTTTTCAGGATGTTGATGTGGTTATATCAGTGTGTATAGAATGGATGAGTGTAGGGGGATGAAATAATCTTTTCACAGTAATAGAAATTCAAAGATTAGTCGAATACAGTCGGCAATGTAATACATAGATAAACTAACTTTAAAATGTTTCAATTAATTGAATAAATTACTAGAACTCGATACAATGAATAGTATTGAATAAAGAAAATAGTGACTGAAATTCTCTTCAATGTGTGCGGAACAATTATTTGAGGTTATTTCAACTGTAAGATTTATCGAAAAAAATAGATGAATGATTTTATATCAAAAATTACTTCACCTTCATGAAATTATTATTTCATTATTTCTTTTGAATCTTTTGTCTTTATGCTCTGCATTCTCTATTTTCTTTTCTTATCTTTCGTCTTCTATAATGATCATTGTTCTATGTGATATAGTATTAAAATTATCTTCACCGAAAGTAATGATCACAATATATCTGCAATATCTTATTACATGTGTCTTCACAATGCCACTCTAGTATGAAGTGAAATATCTCTTCTGAACTTTTTACTATCGATTTTTTATTTTAAGTAATAGACTCAATCACTTTTGTCTTTTCGTTGTTCTCTGTAAGTGGATAACTAATGAAAAGTATATTGTCATTTTCAATCATTTATCATGACATAATTGAGTAAAGTAGGAAAGTTTTCAAACAATATCAACTATGACCATTTGATTTAATCGAATCGAAACTAATCTACATAACCTTACAGCAGCTATAGATTAGACAGATAAACCATGAATATAAACGACTCACATCTGATTTCTATGAAACAATAAAATACTTCAGATATCTGTAGTATGACATGCCAAGTTTGCTCTAGCTTATTAAAGTCAAGGATTAAGTACATGTCAGTTATGATAAAGTGAGTGTACTATTTAGTCGATAAAAAATCTATCTTCCATATTGTTTAAAGTGTTATATCTATTAAAGTGCATTAAATCTCGGTAAAACAAAAAAAGAACTAATGAGTTAAAGCTTAATGCGAGAAAAAAAACATAAAAATGCGTTTTATCATTTAAAACTCTTACATTTTAATGCTTATGACAATATAAATGCGGCAAAAACAGTAGAAATTGCCAAAAACACTAGAGAAAATGCGCTACTAAGTGTTAAAAGTTCGTATAAACGCAGTTTTAATGCGTTCTTTAAAGATATTGTCTGACTGAGTATCGATGTTGAGTCTATATCGAAGTGAGATAATCAACAACAAGGCTATCTAGTTGTGTGCCTTGAGACATCTGTTTTATCATTATTCTTCTCCATTGTTCCATTCTTACCTGAAGATCCTAATATCTGAGGATCATCTTTTTCTGGGTCAATTATTACTCCACAGATTTGAGTCGTATCATCAATCTTCATTGCTTTATGCTTGGAAATCAATCCCTTTTTAAGCCAACAAGTGCCACCTTGCCATGAACTCCAAGAGAAATGGCTACATTCTGGTGTTGCAGAACATGCTGCACCACATCGATTAGCAGCGATCTGAACATCACTAATATCATTGCCAGGAAAGTCGCAGCTATAAGCCCAATTTCCTTTCCATTTAATATCGTTAGCTAATGCTAAAATCATAGAGTTCATTATCAAGAAGAGAATATTTATCGTTACAAAACCAATGCGAAAAGCAAGAATTACTCGTCATTATCGATTACAAGAAGCACTCGATTTCATGCAGTCAAATCCAAAAAATTTATCTGGCATAAAATCCAGATTTACGGTATCAAAGGCTTTGACTGGTTTGCTAAAGTTATGTTGAATTTGATTTACACAAATAAATCTTGTTTTTTTCGAATCATCGAACGTTAAAAAACACAATTGTGTAAAAAGTCTTATTTCAGGTAGCTTAGATATGTTTTTTTTATTGAAGGTAGTTTTGTGGAAAATAAGCGATGATTTTTTTTTTTTCTTTAATATTAAATTCGTCATAAATAGATAGCTTTTCTGGAGTTTATTGAAAATTTAATATACTAAGAAACTTTTCATTTATACTTTATTTTATGTACAGCAAAGTGATAATATAGAAGTGCTTGGTTTTTTAAAATTTGTTGTATATCCATAATATTTTTTTCTGCAAGGTAATTGAATTTTGAAGGAAAACTGAAAATAATAAATATCAATATATATTACTTTCAGACTTCTGCTAAGGTATGTCAACATATTTCTAAATAACGTTGTAGTTCGTTTTATTTTCTAAACGTACGGATCCAAATTCCCTATGTTCGGTTGTTATAATCTCAAGAATGCAAAAAAAGAAATTCTATGTTCTTCGATCCTATAGACAATGTTTCGTTTATTTACAAATAGTATTCGAACAAGGTAAACTAGTATGAAGTTCTTTAGTTTCAAGATTTGAAACATTGAAAACAATAGCAATATAAAAAGCTAATTAGTTGCCACTTTGTTTGAGAAACTGAAGTGATGCATCACAACTAATGACAGATAATGATTTTTATAGATAATTATATTTTATCGATCAACAGTGTTCTATAGAATGGTATTGATATGGATCGATAGAGATCTCGTAGTAGTGAAAATCGCAATGTCATACTTTTGAATTCGATTGATTGTTCGAAACATAACTTTTCTTACTACATTGCTATAAAAATACACTTCAATAAATTGTAAATATTTTTGAGAAAAAAAATGTATCTCAATCGATCATAAAAACAAGCACTCCTTTTTTTTCTTTACTAATTATCGATTTTTCGATCATCAATATTTAAAAATGTCTTCGCTAGTAGTGGCATACGCACTATTACTTTCACTTTCACATACCATAGTAACCGTAACTGTTTTTATGATCAAAACACTTTCCCTTACGCTTACGCCACATTGGTGAGGATTTCAGTGAATTTACTGCTAACCTCGTACCAGATAACTGATAACATAATCATAACTGTTCTTCCATAGCAACCACCTACCAGGTAAGTACTAAATGGCACTACTGATCAATGCTAAATAGAAATTTTTTCAATCATAAAGGCACCTAATATTGCTTTGATTGCTCTAACGAGGGAAGGCCACCAAGTGTTCAATCGCTTTTTCGTTGAAACTGCTTGTATTATATAGCTCCCAAGGAGTTATGAATACGCTGAAAATATTTTGGGCGGATAGTATATTGTTACGAAAATAGGCCATTTTTATGGTATTTTTCTATGATTGTCGTATCCCTCTTCAGGAACATTAGAAAATTGATTTTCGAATTTTGACTTGAAATTTTTTATAGCAATACATCTCAACGAGAATAGTGTTTTGTGAACGTTTTTGATCATTGAATTTGCTTGTTTCATTAAATCTGCTACTTTATTTGAAAGATGTAAAATAAAAATTTCACAATACCTATGTCTAACGATAGGAATAGTAGAAAGGTCTAAAACGTTCACAAAAAGTTGTTCTCCTTAGGGCGTCTTTCTATGAAAATTTTCAAGTCAAAATTCGAAAATCAATTTTTTTAATGTCCCTGAGGGGGACCCCGGGCACTAAATAAAACCCGTATCTTAGAAATGGTCTATTTTCGTAACAATAAGCTATCCGCCCAAAATATTTTCAGTGTATTCATAATTCCTTGGGAGCTGCATAATGTAAGTAGTTTCAACGCAAAAGCGATTGAACAGTTGGTGGCCCTCCCTCGTAAGTTGAAGTGACAAGAAATGTAACATTTTTACTTGTAAGTTGTAGTGGTGCTGAGTGAAAGAACGAAAGTCTCACAAAGAGTCTAGAATATACTGGTTCATACGAAACTCAAAAGCCCGAGAGACTCTTGAGTTTATTCTGCATCTTCTCTAGAAGCTTCGACAAATCTGTATCTCTGAACTAAATATGGATCCTTTATGCTAATGATTCTGAAACGAATGTGAGCAATTGAGACAACAATACGCAATAATGTAACTGATCAAGGAAAAGTTATGATAAATTTTCTGATGGAACCATCAATAATGTGGGAAAATGATGTAACGGGTAGAGCAGAAGAAATTGCCAGCTTTTTATAGACTATTTTCTCAAGTTAAACTGGTTGTGAAAGTTTCGTTCTGATGTCAAAAGACAGAGAATTTTATGTAGATCTTATTGATATGTTCTTTGCGAAATAAATATTTGTCCTTGCCTTGTAGCATTAAAAGTATTGGATACCACAAAAAACATCATTTGCTCAGCATTTTACTGGGATAAAGGATTAGTTTTCTTTGTTAAATGATTTTACATACACTATTTAAATGCGATATCATTAAGTACAGAGTCATATCTGTTTTTGAGACTCAATACTAAATCTGGAGATAAAGTTTCGTCATTAGAAAAACCGCTTGCAAAAAATGTCTAATTGTTCATTTTTTGTGCCTTTTAATGTCAGGCAAGAGATCCCAATCTCATCAATAGTTTCGAAAAGAAATTCAGGCGTCATAATGAAGAACATTTTGTAGAGCTTGAAATTCTACATCTGTTGATATAAAAAGAGTAGTTTTTGTAAAAGCAAGTTTTTTGAAAAAATTGGCAACGAAAAGTACAATTCCGTTAACCGAGAGTATTTTTTCTTAATATTTTGTGTTTTTTAAAGCAGAAACAATTAAGTTTTAAAAAAATCAAGGCACGACTAGATACATTGAAAAATCCAGCATTAGTTAGTAACAAGAAGAAATTTTTGAAACACAATTAACCGAACAAAAATTTGAGTTCAAAAGTGCTTCATTTTTCAGTTGAGCAAATGATGTTTTCGTAGTATCCAGTACCTTTAATATTAGAACAGAAGGACAAATGTTTATTTCACAACGAACATATCAATAAAATCTACACAAAATTCTCTATTTTTTGACATCGGAATGAAACTTTCTCATTCAGTCTGACTTGAGAAAACAGCCTATCAAAAGTCGACAATTTCTTCTGCCCCACTCGTTACTTTAGGTAAATAAAAAATGACTGACGACCTACTGGTAATAGTAATAGCAATACGATACTCCTTGTGTTCGCATTGCAATTCCAATAGAATTCAAATGCTATCTAATTTCTCAGAACATACTTGAGCCTTAGATCTTGTAATTTATTTAGTTTGATTATTTTGAATAAGCAAGGTTCACAAAAAAAAGTTGTTGTTTTTGGTGACATATCCATATGATCTCATAGAATCAACAGATTACATAGAATTCCTACTAGGTGCTGAAGTCACGTATATATACATTATATATGTGAGTTGGAAGATTGATGTTTATATTCAAAAAATATTTCTTAAAAGATCTATTGTGATAGAATGTTAGTGAAGAAATTATTTGCTTATTTCTGTACTCTACTCTAATAATCCTTCTAATTAAAGACGACATAGTGCTAAATATAGTTATTCCGTTGAAAAGACATGAGTAAGGATTAGTTCATTGACATATTATTTTTTGTGTCAATATTTAATTCAAATGTTTTCATGTAACATTTTCTTTCTGTCAAAAACATCTCATATATTTCTTATACAGATATAATGTTAATGTATGAATTAGAAAAAAAAATTATTTAAGTATCTAGTAATCATCAAAGTTGTCAGAACATATCTAAAAATATATAGCAAAAATTATGCTTTTATTTTTTTAATAAAATTTAATAACCTATAATGATAAACTTTTTAATAGACAAGCATTTACTCGATCTTCTAAGCTCGTCTATATTAAACATTGCGTATTCTCTACATAGATAAATAGTGATGCTAATTTAGATATAACAACATAAAAATTAGAACAATTCAATCTTTTATATAAGAATGCTGGAAAACAAACAAACAAACTTTTGTTACGCATCATCGGTGAATATCGCTTTTGTTTCAAGAAAGGAATGCATTACGCACGAACTTGTTCAGTGATAATAACAGATATCTCAAATAATAGTTATACTATTCCATGAGAAGATTCCTAACCCTCTGAATCTCGACGATGTATAAATACGTCCGAATGCAGTTATTGGATAAAAGCGCCCCTAACATATTCTTTTATTGTTTGAAATATCTTTTTATCGTTTCTTTCACCTTTTGGACATGACAGTACGTAATGCATTTGTAATTTACAAAATGCAGAATAATATTTCGTCTCATCTATCTGATTTTTGCCTTGAAATATCAGAGGAGTTTTGACAAACTACGGATTACAAAGATTAACTACAGTTGGAAGACCATCGACAAGAGATTCTTCTCTTTGTCTACCTGCTCGACATTTTCCTTCGCTTATTCCATAAACATCCCAGTCAAAATAGCCTCAAAGAAAATGCGTAGTTTGCACATCCCATAATATTCGATGTGATACACAATATATTTGTCCTGACTGTAATGTAGCTCTATGTATTGTTGATTGCTCTAAAGACTACCATACAAAGACGAACTACTAATGGTTTTTTGGCATAGAAATCATCTTTAAAAATTTCTTATAAAAGCTGTCGAGTTACTCAAAAAAAAGGCGAGACTCAAAGGATTAAACTGCTAACACATTTTTAATACGACAGTGTGGAAATCAGTAATAGAAAATTGTATTTCAGCTAGTGCCTCTCTTAACATACTTCTTTAAATATAAGAAATTCAATAAACTAACTCTATAATATTAAGTTCAGTTATACAATTAAATAAAATAATCTTTCTTAGATTTATTGCTTTCTCTTGAATATCTCTTACCTCATATATATATTAAGTGTTTCATATTTTTATTACTATTATTCTCGTTTGCCAAAAACATTCTTAGAGATGCATAAAGCGCGTAATTATTATCAATTATTAATTTAACAAAAAGTGAACAATATGTAATATAAAAGTCAGATCTTTTCAAGAGGAAAAAAATAGAGACCTCAGTGTTGAAGTATTATGGAGTTTGCTAGAGTCTATCGAAGTCTTTTGAAGTCATTGAACTATAAATTTTAAAATAACATATGACGCAAAAACAATGGCTCAAATATCGACTTTAATGTCTCTTCAATAGAAGGGTACTGAAAGAAAGCTTTTTAACTAGATGATAGAATTCTTTCCTCTTTTGAATCATATATAACTTGTTTTTATCGCATGTCCATCAACGAAACGATGCAAAAACAAAGAGAAGCATCATCAAAATGAGTTCACACTTTTCCTATAAATTATAGCACAACATATGAATCATTGCGACTCATTGATAAACACTTTCTGAAAGGAATATTTTCCCGTCAGTCTATAAGAAGCATTCTCCTTTTATATGATTGATATTTGTCCTACATTCATCAATTAAAAGAGGCAAGAAAAAAAAGCAAAAATATTCATTCAATGAGTTTGAAAATTTTGTGAGTTTGTTAAAAAACATAGTGTACAACGGTGGTTGACTTCAATTAACTGTCATATTGCACTATATTTTTTACAATTTCATATAAAAATCGTAACTTTATCGTGCGAGTGTTGTTCTTTTTTCCGACCTCATTTAATTTACGAATATATAACAAATACAATTCATATGCTGTTCGAAAGAGAAGAAAATTTCTTATCGACTGATAAAAAAAAATTCTTTTCAGAATATATTTATCAAAAAGATATAGGAATCAACATTTTGTTCCTTTTTGTTGAATCTGAAGAAAAGTGCAGATTTATGTTAAGGGTACTTATCTTTCATGCAATGTAATCTCGTTCATGAACAGGAAATAAAAATAAGTTATATATAATTTGAAAGAGGAAAAAAAATTTCTATCTTCGTATGAAAAAGTTTTCTTTCAGCATCATTCTTTTGAAGAGACATAGGAGTCAACATTTATCCCTTTAGTTTTGTATCAGATACTATGTTGAAGTCTCATGAGGTCTTGAAGTTCGCTGTATGCCCTTCGGATCTTCTACAAGATAATACTAATTTTTTTAAAGCATTTTTTTGGGCTCTTCATACAGCAACTTGTCTGATTTTTATAGAAACAAAAAATATCCAATTTTACTTATATTTCGAAAGATATGCTTTGATGATTATGAGTCTAAAAGGAAAACAATTCTATATATTTATTAGTAGGCAATGTCTCTTTCAAAAAAAAACTTATTTCAAATTTAAATAACGGACATATTTACAAATAACTTACGTTTTTTTTTAATATAAAACTTGTACGAAAAAGTACCTGAAATGAGACTAAACTGTACTTGAGTTCGTGATTACGAAAAAACAAGATATTCTTGTCTCAATTTTAAATACAATACTTTAGAAAGATTTTCCAATTCGTTATTAAAAATCAATAAGTCTGTTCTGTCTTTTCACTAATAGACAACTAATGTAATAGGTACTATTTTGAGAATAAAACGTCCGATTGATTTTCACTGAGAAAATAAAATTCAAATTCAAATCAAGTGTAAAAGTATATTCTATGATTGATTTACCAGTAGGAACAATCGAATGATAAAGACCCAATATTAAAAGTAGAAGGCGTAATAGTGAAATCGACGAGTACAGCATTTCTTTGAAAATAAGAAAACCAATAAGTCAACAATTTAATGCAGAAGCTTTTTGATGTTTCAACAGCAATGCTTCTTGGCAGATACGTGTCTACAGAACATTGTGTACTCTTTCTTTTATTAGACGAAATTATTTTTATTTTCTTCTACGCCGTTGTCTGAAGGTCATCAATGCTAATGAGAAATACGATCATAAAGATCTGTACGAATATAGACATATATGAGAAATTTTATACGAGACAGATTGACTTTGATATAATGCTTGATATGAATGATGACAGGCGAGATGTTTTTTGTCAGACGAACCACATAACTTAGTCTTGTTAGTATTCGATTTTTCTTCTTATTAGAAAATAGTTCCACATTTCTTTCGTAAATATTTTGAGTATGACATTGACTTCTTCTATTATTGATTTACTAATAGCCGAGGAAAATAAAATGACGCACTCGAAAATGTCTCTCAGTGTCGTCTTTCAACATGTCAACAGTAAGGCAAGAGATAGATAAACATCGGCATTTCTCTATGATATAACTTTTTTATTACTCGTCCCTTTCAATTAACTATCTGATGCAAGAAATATCGTTTCGAATAATTTAGAACGATTTTCTCGAAAGATCACCGATTGAGCTGTTTTTTTCTCAATATTTTCTCGCTATAACACACGTGAAAAGATCTTTTATATGTTGTTCATCGTTCCGGAACAAAGACATTTCGTTGAAAATTCGGATTTTATAGTGAATGTCGAACAGAAATTACAGCAGTTATACAGTTTTCCAATTGTTCTTCAAATGGTACAAAGAAAAATGAATATTATATAATGTGAAAAATTAACAACTAATCCCAGCTGACTTTATTGATTATTATGCTTTGATGATGTTACATTCGGAAGTGCTTATTATGATGATGGATGATAAATGAAAAAGAATTGAATGTATTCAAGCAACAAACAATGTCATTAATGCAAAGAATTTCATAGTTTAGCACTAATAAAATTTTGATAAATATTTATAAAGGTTTATAAGAGTAATAAGGGAATAATAAAAACGAGCAGCCATAAGAATCACGTAAATAAAAGAGAAGACATATACAGTTAAGAGGAAGAACAAAGGAAAAAGGAGAAAAAGAAAGAGATGAACGCATTAAATTGTATGTTTTGTCTTCCTATTAATTTGTTTCAACAAGAAAACAGCTACTTTAAATAAAATGATATGTGTCGATCGATCAGGTGTTTAACACGATGCTCACGAAAAAAAAATTTACTAAGATGATTGTTTTTTCTTTGTGATATTAATCTCAAACGACGATGTCTTTTTAGAAGAGTGAATATTCAAGAACGGTCGAATGCATGGTTCTCAGATTTTTTTGAATATATTTTTTAACGTAAAAATCTAAAGAGTGCTAAGAAGGTGTGACGTGTGCAGATTTGTATGTTGATAGCTGTGGTTGAACGTGTAGATATTGGTCTTTCGCTTATCGGCAGCTACATTGTGACATCCACATCCCTATATTTTGTTGCATCTCTACAGAATTAATGGTACAAAAGTATGATATTATTCATCAATGATAATGTATCGGACGAGTGGAATAATAAAGTAATGAAGAATATATGATAACCAAGAAAAACTTATGAGATGAGTAAACTATAAAATAAAGAAGAATTCAGTTTTATTCAATAGAACAAGTATTAATTTTTCTCTTATTTTATGTCTCATATGTGAATTCAGTAATAAATAGAAATGATCAGTAAGCATCTGAAATTAGTTTATTAAATTTCATTTTCACAAACATATAAATGTTTCTGAGCTTATATGAGAATTACTGTCACTCTAGTTTAAGTAGTTATTTCTTATATTTATTTATTATTTTGGTTTTTTTATTGATGAATTATCTAGTTCGACTCCTCTCAAAAAATAAGAACCTCTTCTCGCTATCTATCTCTCTATTGTATAATCAATTGGCAATTTAAAATAAAAAATCAATGCGTTAGAATCAATCCAACACTGTTCATTGAATTTCAGAAACGTTTTCTTGCCATGCTTCAAAAATCAATTGTTAAGAGCTTCCATTCTTTTTTATATCTAAAAAGAATATTTTAATATTTCTCATGATAAACAAAGAAGTGATATTCGATACTAAAATATACGATGGAATAAGTATTCGACTGATTTTTCAGAAGTTTTCTTAGTTCTAAAGATGCTTACATTGAAAAATGGACGAACATGATAGTGAAGAATACGTTACTAAGAAATGGTAAAACCTATTCGAGAAACTTAAATTGTAAACAGAGAAATTTTAAAAGGCAAATACTTTATTTCGGTTGGGTATGGGTGTAAGTGGCTGAGAAGAAAATAGTCACACTCATGCTCACACCCTTCAAAGAGCAGTATCTAAAGATGGTATAAACTACATCTCTAAAAACAAAAATCCGTGTTCCTATTGCCAAGCGTAGCGTAGCTTGCAGCACTGCAAGCAGCAAACGTACTGCTGCAGACATAATACTTTCGAGAATTTTTTTACTTTTAATCCACCACATTATGAGTTTTACAGGTTCACGAAAAATTCATTTTTATTACAAGTGCACAAAACTCGGTTTTCATATATTCTTTCTTATTTCGAAGCAAAGTTTGTCAATCAGTTAGTTCATTAAAAATAAGTTGGAAATGATACATTAGAAGACGTTTCATACTAGACCTGGCTGATATTGCAGATATTTCGCACTAGTCATGTCGCATGTCTTCACTTAGTTTTTGTTCACCTCGGTTTTGAATTTTGGGTTTGGGTGTGTGTATTGATGTGTGTCTGAGTGGATACTTTGTTTATCCACACCTACACCAACACTAATGCTCACACTCTACATGCACTCCGTAAAAACGTTTTTTTCTTACGGTTCAGCTGACCAAATGATGATCTATCAGCTCAACACTATACTTGTGCGAGGAAGAACGAATGAAGCATAGGTATGTGTGAGTATGGGTATGGACTCGAGCGGGATTGGAGAGTACGTGAAGAGAAGACCCACATTCAAACCCACGCAAACACCTGCAGCATAAAGCAACATCCACATTCAAACCCACATCACAATGTTATCTGACATTAAATGAAAAAATTCAATTAACTAATTATAGGGAAGAGAAGTTACCGTTACATTACCAATTAACAGGTAACAGACAAACTCATGGTTTTGATTCTTTCCTCAGGAAATAGCTATTGAGGTAAAATCAAGATCTTCTATAAAGTTTGATAAGAAATTTTCGAGTAGAGAAATGCAAACTTGTAATTGGTTTCTCAAATTTATTTTGGTTTGATTCTTCTTCTGGAAGAAGAGTTTTTACGAAAATAACAATTTTTTTAAATGTTTGATCGAACGCTTGTCAAGTCAAAGTATCTGAATTTCTAATACGTGTCTCAAAATTCTATTAAACCGATTACAAATTCAGATGCCTCGACCTTGAAAGCCTTTGATCGAAGAGTGTGAGTGTGTGTATGGGTCTGGGCGTGAGATGGCGTGTGGGCGTGAGTTTGCATGTTACTGCTATCTTCAGCAATACCCCCGCTCATACGCACATCGACACCCACATCTACACCCACCGCCCAACTTAGTGGCCAAAAGAAATCTGGCAAAAATATGCAGCTGATCTTGATAGAATCATCAAGAATCCTAATGAAGAACAAAGTCTTGAATGTTTAAATCATATGCTGATGGACTTACATAATCATGTACCTGATGTGATCAACTATCTTGATTGTCTCAAACATCGTAAAGTATTGAAATTTTGTACAATTCCACAAGTGATGGCAATGGCTACTCTTGTTGAGTTATATAACAATCCTTTAGTACCTACATCGGTTGTAAAAACACGCAAAGGACTCATTTGTAAATTAATGTTAAACTATTCGACTTTGAATAAAGTACATGCTTGGTTTTTTTTCTTTATCACAAAAATTGAACATAAAATACCAAAACGCCCTAATGCTAATACTGATCATGTGCACCACGAACTCGTTGATCAAGTAAAAAAATTGTGTAACATAAATTTAAAATCCTAACAATTTCTCTTAAAAATGCTTATCAGTGTAGCCCTGAACAGGTCAAAATTTATAAGGTGCCTGTTCTCTTCTCTTTGAATAAACGTCAATATAATATTTGTCATGCGAAAAGATAACAGATTTTTTATTATTATTCTTATATTTATTGTCACATTAGAAAATACTTGTAATAAAATTTCGAAAAATTCAGACCTGACTATAGGTTTGAAATGATTAATATTGGATATTGGAAAAAGAGGAAACATAATACAGTGAGCATTAGATAGAAAAGAGACAGTAGGTCAAGAAAAAATATCGATCATATTTCAAATGGATTAATGTCCAGATATGTAAAAGAAAGAAGAAGATGACGGCAAACAATTATCAGATCACTGATAGAACAAGTCATACAAACAGAAAAAACATAAGTACAGCCAATAGTGTGAACTACTGCAAAAAACTGTGTTTCAGAAACGCGTTTTTCTATTGCTATGAAACGCTGCTAAGGAAGGTGTCTAGATAAGACCGAAGTAGGCAAAACTGTACCTATCCATTCATACCCGCACCGTAAATAAACAAGGGACTAGTTATCTTTAGTGTTTAGTTTGATAGATTGTCATATAGCTCAGAGTAAATGGCTGAATTTTGTTTGATACAATATCGTTCATTTCGATTTAGAATCAATTTAGATCAATTCATACAGATGGGAATACAATTCTCATTCCATCTATTATATCTATTCTGTTGAACTTCGATTATTCATTGATCCATTGGATCAGTTCATAAAATTTTATTCGAAAAATCTATTATCATACTGAGAGTTCGGGTGTGAATGTCGGAAAGTTTTCTTGATCGACCTGTACCCACACCCACTCAATGAAATCAGGTGCACAAGATGTGAAACATGAGCAAGGTCAATATGCCGTTATTTATTTCGATGATTATCGTTCCATTCGCTCGTCATGATCTTCTTGAATTCGAAATAATCCACATCGGATACGGGATCAAATTTTCCAATTTCTTTCTCATCATTAGTAATGTATTCAAAATATTCATTGTTGTCTACTCCATCTTTATGATATTCGTATGCTTGAATAGTAATACATGTCTGATTAGGTGATATATTCTTCAATTTGTGAATCTGATTTAAGCCAGGTGACAGCCAAGTAACTTGATCTTTGGAAATATTAGTTTCGTAGAAGGGCTTCTGCCGTTTCAAATTCAATGCTCGATAAAGTTTCACATTAATTCCGCCATATAATACCCGAATAATGCCGTAAGTATTAGCGTGTGCATGAATGGGACTGTAGTGACCAGGTGGCCAAATTTCTACCACATATGGAACACCCGGTGAACTACCTCGATTACGCCCAACGGTGATTCTTAAATAAGTCGCGAAAATATTCGGTGTTCCAAATCGATTGGATTTTTCTGTTAATTTTCTCCGGCACCAGCCTGATTCATTCTGAATACTTTCTTCAATCGCCTCGTAAAATTGCGGAAATTCATCATCTTGAAATTGCCAATTGATGACATCATAATAGAGATCTTGACACTCCTTATCTAATCGTTGCACTGGTATTGCCGTCTTATCCCGATAGTCATTTAATAAGTAATAGTTTGGTGAAACGACAAACAATGGCGGATCATCGATCACTGGAACTTTACCCACCTTTAACATAATTTTTTCTTGATAATCTTTCAATTTCACTACGTCACTTTTATTACTAAATGTGACATGAACAAATTTAATTCGTCGTACATTAGATTTTTCATTGTCTGGAACATCACTTCTAATCAATGTACATCTATCTCGTACTTCACCTTGACCATATTTAACAAATGAATTCGCATAATCGATACTCCACCAATATTTGCCTCGAATCGAGAATAGAAAGTGTCAATATTGTATTTCATAAAATCTCTTTCAACTTACTTTCGTCATTATGTAAAACATATTCATAATCATTTGTCTGATTGATAATGATTGTTCGACCATTGACTGTTTTACTGATTTGTACTTGGTGATTGTCGAGAGAAAGATGAAGTATATAAGTGTCATTGGTTAGATTATCGCTGATTGATGCATGTAATTCAAATGGTAATGACACTTTTTGATTCATTTCAACGGTTAATTGGCCATTTTGATCTAGAACTTGAGTACAGTATTCTCGCCAAGGACACCAAATTCTATTTGGAGGGCTAAAATCATGTAACCAGGATTCGAACGCTTTCCAATTAGAAAGCTCAGACGAAGAAACAGTTTCACAAGTCCCTACAAAGTAAGATCAACAATGTTGATTTCTTCCATAATATTGTTTAAAAGAAAAAGTATCTCTGCATTAATACGATAGCTCTCAAAAGTTCCAATAAAATCCATCTATGTGTCTGCTTTTCTACATACGTTGTTGTTGTTGTTTTTGCCACATCGATGATGCGATTTCCATACTCGATTGCCAGATATCCTTTATCATTAGAAGTTGTTGCTCGATTGTTTTTGCTTGTTGTTGAATAATTGCTGCTTGAGCATTACAATTTATTGATGAAAGACTAAATGAAACAGAAATTATCGAATGATTGAAAAGTCATATATTCCGAAGAGAAATATTACGAGTTCAAGTGAATGTTTGGATTGTTAATCAGTTCTAAAATCATACTCAAACAAGTGTCATTATTTTTCTTTTCTAAATCGTCAATTACCTGTACTTGTTGTTGAAATAATATTAGTAGCATCATTCAAAATTTCATCAGTACTTTTGGCTAATGATACAAACGAAAGTTGATCGATATAACCGTCAAAATAAGTTTGATGTGTTCGAGTACTTTCTGTTGTTCCAATAGTCAGAATATTTTCTGCACCTTGATAACTATTCGATACCTTTCTCGTAGCATCTTGTTTGCCATTTAGATAGATTGTTTGTTGCAATGATGTTGCATCGAAAACAAATGCTACATGATACCAATTGTTCGTTTTGAGTGTTGTGCTACCTTTCAAATCATCTTCAAATAACCTCATGAAAAGAGTAGCATTTCGTAAACCCAATTGTAGACATATTCGTTTTGGTTGATTTTGGCATTGAGAGAGAATGGTATTATCATATTGAGATAATGATGTCGGATAGATCCAACATTCTACTGTAAATGATATACGAGCAAAGCTCAAGAATGGCTGAATAACTGTCACTGATTGTCGTAGCTGTGATCGAAGATGAATGGCCGCTTGGCTCACTGGTGATGGTACATAGAATGGATTGTTCACTGAAACACTCTTGTACACATTGTTCAAATCGTTAGTATTCAAATCGAATGGCCAGAGAACACGTGTTACTGGACTAATAGTTGAAACTGTGAAGAACAGAAGAACGAACAAACTTAATATCATTATTAACCTTTTTGTACAATGAATGAATCGTTTTTCGTTTACAGTTCGAACCAATATCTCTTATGCTTACCATCCATGAATGCAACTGTGAGCGTTAATAAAAGATTGAATAAGATAAATCTCATTTGTTCTTCTTTCTTTGTCCTCCTCCTGAAATGGTAGCTGTTAGACTCATCGAAAACAACAGCGCGCTTTCCTCTCTCCTTCTCTTTTCTATCATCACTGCTATTCGTCAGTAACGGCAAGTGCTGATAATTCTCGTTCAAATTCTCAAAAAGCATGTCTTTACAGAGCAAGCTGGTCATAAATATGACATGTTGAATGATACCTTAAGTTCGAGAGGGTGTGAGTGTAGGTATGGATATAGTTGAAGTGGGTACCAACATATAGTCCCAAACTTACACCTTGCCAAATAAATGAATAAATCGAAATGATAAAAATTTTTACAGTTGATAAGTGAGCTCTGAAATTTTATTTTGAAAATGCTTTCATTTAGGAATCACTATTCTACTGATTTAGTAGATTCATTTAACATCATTATAGCGAAAAAATGTATTTTTACCGTCACATGCACCATCAATACATAATTTCTTTTCTCCTGATGATAATATATACGTAAGATGCTTGCCATAAGAAGCGACCAATATCATTTTATTCTTCGTTTTATCGGTTCAACTACCATATTAATTTGCTAAACACCTTGATTTAATTGTTCGATAAACTTCTGCAAACACCATCCTTTCTCTTGAAGTCCTAGTACATTTATTGTGGATTTTTGCTTAAACTTAGAATTCACTTAGCTTATACTTTTCTATATACATCCTATGCTGACTCAGCCAGATCAATAATACCACCATCCTACTTATTTGTACCTACAATACGATCATTTCGTTGCATTAAATAATAAAATCCGCTGTATATAGACTAGTTAGAGTCCACAGAGTTTCAAAATGATCTAAACACTGTCAACACAGATGTCTTTTCTTGTTGCTATGGAAATGCATCCAATAATCGTTATTCTTCCATCTTCCAAACGTGCCGTCAATATGGCCTATAAGGAAAAAACAACCACACAAACCTCGATTAAAACTTCTACTCACTGTTATTTTCTTTGAAAATATATGTGAGTTTCACAAAAAAATTGCAGAAGCTTTAAAGAATTTAAATAGCTGATTCGCCTACATGATAATTTCTATTGACTTTTATATCTATGTCCTTTTTATTTATTGTACCATATTTTCGATCTTTTTCTTCGATAGTATGCATTTGAAATTTATAATAATGACTCACTTTGTCTTCCTAACATTGAATATCTCTCAGATTTTTTCATTATATAAAGTCTAAATCTTTATCTGATGAATTTAATTACTTTATACTTAAATTTTTATCATCGATTTATAATTTTTTGTACACTAATTAGTAGACGTATTCATTTTCTACAAATATAAGATAATAATACATATGCAGTAATATTTAAATAGGTATGATTATTTATAAAACAGTGCCTGAAACTAAATAGCTGTACAGATCATTTTGAAAAGAGATACAATTCTTTTATGGAGATAACAGCAGAAATGTTGAAGAGACTTTCACATGAATATAGTTTATATTACTAACGATTTTGCTATGTATTTCTTTTAGGTATCTCTAAGTGCATAGCTATTTTATATCAAGCACTACTTAAAGATTTTGAGCATTATTTAATTAACAGTGGTAGTCATTTCAGGAAGATGTTATTGTATCTATAAAGCCGATATCGAGGTTCTTTATGTAATGAATTCTCGGTATGGATATGCCGCTAAATTATGACTTTGAGTGAATATGGCTTAGCGAGGTAGATACCCAACATCATATTTATATATCTCCAGAGTTCAAAATATTGAGATGAAGGTGTATGAGTGAGCCTTATCTTGACTGCCCTCCGTCTCTGCACACCTGGAAATCTAACCAAGTCCTCCCTTCCACTAGTATACTGTGTGATTGTCAAATTTACTCAAAACTCTCGACTCTATGGATATATAGATATCAAGATGAGTACCGAACTCGATACTGATATATCTAGAGAGAGAGAGCGAAGATTTTGAATGAATTTTATCTAACGAATTGGGTACCTGGTTTTGCTGAATATTGTGATTCGTAGCTCGTTGCTACTCAGCGTATATATTATGACATCTGTGACTTAGTATGATTGATTTTCTAAGAACAGAAGGAAAACATTGGATATAAATGGATAAATAAGAAAAGAGAACATCATGAAATAATTCTTTTATTTCAATAGAGAACCGCTGAAACTAAATACTGAATGTTTAAATTGAATTGAATAATATAAAATGAAAATATTATAGGAGCAGAAAAAATTTCCAAAAAAATGGATTATACTGTAACATAAGGAAAAAATTTAAGAGGTAATCAATGCCAGTAAAGACAAATCAATCGTTACAAGAAATTTTAAATACATACTATCTAGAGAAAAAGATTGAAAATATGATAAAATAAACTAAATAAATATAGATAAAAAACAAGAAGTCGATAAAATTTTTTATGAGAACGAATCAGCTATTTAAATCATTGAATGATTACATAACTTTTTATTTTTGTGATTGGCTTTTAAATATATTCAAATCGCGATGAAAACATTTAGATAGCGCTAGATTTTAAACAGTTAGTTACATGAAAAAGTATTAGTTATAAACGAAAAAAATTGTTACAAAGCAATTAGCTATTGAAATAATTTAGTATCTATCTAAGATTAGAATAAGTGTCGCTTTTGAGAAGCTACAATTTTTAATATAAAGTATGTCATCAGGAAACTCAGTGAAACACACAAGCATATTCGCTTGTTAGAACATCAAACTATGAAAATGTTTTACTTTTCCTATCTCTAAATCTTATTCAGTGTAGTCTTAAAAGTTGAATGATATATATAAGCCGACTAATTTGGGTGAAAAGTCATTCAAAAATCAGTCTAAAGAATATAGACTTACATTTTGACGTTTCATGTGAATTTTTTATGAAATTCAAAAGCTACATATCGATAATTTTGTCTATCTAAAAAACTTTTTGTATACCAGCTGGGATGAGAATTTGAGCGAAATTCGACTAGTACATCAAAAGCTAGTAACGAAACAATTTTGAAAATCTGAAGCTATAAAATGAGTGAAGAAAAAGTTATTCATTTCTTTTTTTACATTGAAAAAATGTTTCTTTTCAAACACGTCGACCTGTTTCCTAAACTGGTTTTTTTTAATGCTGTGTGTTGACACGTTCAGTTCTTCTAAAACTGTTTCCTTCAATTAATAAAACCAGTTTTCATTTGAAGTTACATCTATGTGTAAAACTATTTCGTAACAAAACGGTCACAACGAAGAATCAATAAATCAATACAACAAATTCTTAGATAGTCTGAAATGTGCTGTATCAAACATGCTATCTACTTTCTATTCCATTCGTATTTCTTTGCTCGAAACACTAATTTTAACGCCAATATGTCAACAGATTGACGATCTAGAGACTTGAAAATCGATTCTCAGCGACGATCATTGTGACACAAAATACTTCAAATCTGAATTGTATGATAAAATTACGATTTGCTCATATATACAAGTATTATTATTGTGAGAAAAACTATATTTTTGTTCTTTAGGGACAAAAATTGTTTGCCAACAGTCCTTTCTCGTTAATAATGAGATAATCTATCCTTGACGTTATTTTTCGAATGAAAGAATTGTTTTTTCTTTATCGTTGAGTGATAGACAAGAGTAACAACGTGGTCAACATGACAGTGGATGGCATATTTAGATAACAGCAATGTATGATGTCGATTTTCTGTCTACATGTCATTGCTAAAAAGATAATTAATCTCTCAGTAGCAGAGTATTTTTTTATGCGGAAGATCTTGAATAATATTTTTAAGAAATAAAAACAAAACTTAGCAAGTATCTTAATATAATTCAGCGACATGAAGTTTCAAAATAAAATCAACACACCTATATCTACCAGTCGAATATTTCCACAAGCTATACGTTCACCTGCATGACTACGAGAACAAAAAATAAGTGTTTTTTTTTCAAACAAGGAATAATTCTCATATGTTACCCTGTTGTATGACTGTCGCTATAGGTACCACGACCAAGATCGTCTTCATCTTTGTGAATCACAATCGATTTGTTTAAAATAGAACTTTTCGTTTCGTTAACTAATTGAATGATGGAATCTTCGAAATCGATTGTGACAGTGCCAGATACATCAGACCTTGAAATGATTGATATGATAATGAAATTGAGGACACTGTATCGAAAAAAAAATACCAGATATTTCCAAGATCACCAACATGTCTTCGATGCGTCGGATCATTTCGACCGCCATGAGTTGTGTCTATCCAAATTATTCAAATAGAAAAAAGTGAAAAGAACGAAATCTATTCGTACCATAAGGATTCCAATGAGCACCAGCTTGAGAACAATTCCTTATGCCATCGGGTAATGCAAACATGTGTACATGAAATCCATGATATCGAGTATTGGGCGTTAAATTTGTTAAAGTACCAGTAACACGAACTGGTGATCCAACAACATTTGCTTGCGTAAATGTTAATGTACCAACTGAGACAGGACTTGAATCAAGATGTAAATCAGCTTTGGCAAACCATATCTTCGCTTGAGATTGATAGGAGCCTAGAAATACGAACTAGAATATTACTTTTCAAGAAATCTTTCAATTGCAATCGTCTTTAAATATTCAGTACTGATAAAGCAGAGCAAAATCTTTCTCCGTTAGGTTCCTTGTTATTATGTGATTTATAATGAAATCAGCCGACCGCACATTTGTATTTACCGTCGATAAGTAAAACAATAGCCGTTAGTAATACACAGAATGAAAGAAGTTTCATTATTACGACGAAAGTCTAATTCATTTGTTGGTGATCTAAAACAGATTTATACGCTGATTAGTTCGGTTAATCAATGGCAAATATTTTCTCAAACATAAGCCTATATATAGGGAAAGACAATTGTCAATCAATCTTCTCATCATTAACATCAATAACAGGAATCAAAACAAGAAAACATTCCGAATAGTATTTGTTGTTTTTTATTATTAGCATTGAGACGATCTGTGTCACGTATGACAATGACCGGAAACTTTAATAGACTGACACCAACAGTTATCTATTTTGTCTTTGTCATGAAAGACAGCAGCTTAATAATGTCTATTTTCATCGAATCTGTCCTTGCTTACGTGAGTCTTACTGATAGTACATATATAACTGATTGGGAGCAAGACATATTAGATGGTATCTGTCGAACATATGTAAGAGCCGACATTTTTGTATATTCGTTCAGCATTTAAACATGACAAATATGTATTTAACAAGAGAGAAAAAACCAGAAGAAGATTGAATCAGAAAGATCGTCATTCAAGAAAAAACATTGAGATACTACCACTCTGTCAATTAATAAGATCAGCAATGTGTTATCATTTTTGTTTCTTTTCTGTTCCTTGTTGATTAGATATTAGTTCTATAAGAAAAAAAACTTTTTAGATGGGTAAAGCAAATAGGAAAGATTACAATGACTTTCGAGACTTTTATAAGTATAATTCTAATTCTTTTAGTTAACTGATTAAATGTCGTTTATTGACTTGTTGCCTATCTACATGTCGTATAATTCATGTCGAATATGGGATAAAATTTGTCAACATTGAATCTATCATTATTAATATAATCGAAATATTCATAAGAACTAATTTCATTATTGTGATACTCGTACGCTTGAACGGTGATGCACGTTTAATTGGGTGATCGATTCTCCAGTTTGTGAATTTAATTTAAACCTGTTGAAAGTCAAGTAACTATCTTGAGGGTGTGAGTTTGCGTGTTACTGCTAGGGAACTGCGTGACCGTGACTTTGATCAAGTTTTCCTTATGGTTGCAGAACAACTGTCGGTTGATAATTAGAAATTGTACATTTTCAAATTTTTGTCTTTAATTCGATTTTCATATATTTCAAATGTTTTAAACACAATAAAATGATTAACAAAAACCTAGAAATTTCTAATCAATATCAAAATTATAGATACCAGATGGTCAACAACTGTTTATCTTTTCCATCACATTATATCGTCATGAGTATTAGTAAAGTCATCGTACTCATTACCACTGTTAGATTGATAGGTGTGCCATGCCTCTCTAAAGAAATATAGCGCACATTTTAAAAATTTTACCGCGACCGTCACCGTGATCGGGGCTAACTTTTTTCTTTTATCACCCATATGATGAAAATCGCACAAATATCGGCGATTTATCATGCCGCTTAATTGTGAGATTATATCGCGATTATTCCTCGATTTTTCTCTAATCAATAAAGGTGATTCGTTTCAATCCTCATCCTAAAATTTTACTCTTTGTTCTTTTTTTTCCTATTACGGCTTTTAATTTGCATAAAAAGTCTTTTTTTCACATTAAGATAGTTATTTATTTTCAAACAAAATAAAAATAAGTTAGCAAGATTCAAATGGAAAAAAGAATACACTTAAAACGTTTTTAAGGCACATAAAACATAATCAAAATAAAAATACGAAACAGTACAAATATATGCACTCTAAAAAATCAACAGACATGGTGAAAACCAAACAAAGACAAATGAGAAAAAAATATCATTATTTTATCAAAAATATTTTCTCAATAGATACTATCATATCGAAATACAATCATTTCTACAATTAGTAGCTCTTAGACCAGCTGAAGCGTCCAATAAAAATGTTGTTTAAGTTAACAGCAGCATTGATATTTGTCATATTAATATAATCTAAAAAAAAGAACAAATAACACAATGAGATATAAGATGAAAGAATGGAATACGTAAAGTACTTACTATATTCAGAAAACTGCATAACTCTTCAAAAATAATTTAAAAAAATGTAAAACAAACTTAAACATCAAATAAAACTTATCATTCACTTAACAAAAGCTAAAAAGATACAGTACTAGATAGATATGTCGTAGGCCAATTTCGGATTCAGGCCAATCTAAGATTCGCCT